TTTGCTTAGTCATGAATCGAACACATTACATGACTGTACGAAAGTGTGACTCGCGTCATTTGGATGACATAACCATGATAATGTTTACTCTCATAGACAAATCAAACATCATCATCATACTGTCTCTATTAGAATAATTTATCGCATGGTTTGGAACTTTTTATTTGTTCTTACTAACCCATTATATACACGAGCATTTGAAAAGAAACCTCCATAAACTATAGTTTACAATCCATCTCTATCATTGGACATTGTTTATAGCTGCAAGGTAGCTCACGACATCACGACATCATTAGCTGGTATTAATTCATATTATCTGGGAGTGAGAATGTGAAAAAGTGAAAGGGCATAAGGAAAAAAAGTGCACATTTATTTTTTCTGTTTGTTTGTTTTTTTATTTCCATTACAAGAATAAACAATGAAAATGCGATAAAACAGTTATAGTATATTATGAAACTCGTTAGTAACGGGGGTATAGCACTGGCGGGTGCGACATCTAACGGCCTCGACATTTTTTGGAAGAAACACCATTTGATGTCGCCCCAGCCAGGGTTATATGCTCGTAACTAAGTCGTTTCATAGATTTTAACTATTACATAATATCAAAAACAAGTTCAGGCGCATATATGGAATAACTGTACTATTTACTGCAAGTACGAAAGACCGGTGGGGACATTTCAACTTCACGAATTGATTTCAACAAGTGGAGTTGAAATTGTGAATTCGTAAAGTTGAAATCATTAGGTTAAAATTTTGAATTCATGAAGATGAATTCGTGAAATTGAATTCGTGGAGTTGAAATGTCCCCACCTCTACGTCTTACGAGTACAAGCGCCTTTTACTTCATGTCACTAGTGTCACCGTATCATATATTGCAAGCTTATTAAACTTAACTTATATGGCGACCACATGAAGAAGATGTGTTACCACACAGTAGATTACGTGTATAAATTTGTTAAGACAATACTTCTACATATACATGTATCAATATGTTATATAAACATAAAACTATCAAGACCGAGCTGTGACGGCAGACGGCATGCCTGAATACTAAGTAATTAAATACTAGACACAGAAAAGATTTTTAAAAACTCATTTCAACCCTTCTAATAATCTCCTACAAAAATAGTAAATTTCAGACGTTAAATCCAGTTTTTTAAATGCTTCACTATTTAAAGGCCAACTTAGGTTTACCTTTCAACAACTAAAGAATGGCCGTCCTTAGACTGTTTAAGCAAACACTGGAAAGTTGTGTTGTTGTGTTTTTTTTCAGTCTAGGAAAGTGGAGAAAGGTCAAAGGGTGCCGATCTGGAGAATACGCTGGGAAATGCCAAGTTCAAAGAGAAGATAACTCTTGAAATAAAGATGCTAGAGTTATTAATCTTGAATGCCATACACGAGAATAATTATATTAAGTCTTTAGTAGCAAAGAAGAAAAAGGTAACAGAATAATTATCAAATTTCAAGGGAGAGATAATCCTGATTTTTTATGCTAGTCAACATATACTTAAAGTTAATACCTCAAGAAATAAAAAAAGTTAAGTAAAAATTAAATATCTTTGAAAAACATTATAAGTTTAAGGGTGAAGATAATTCAGGAAATATTGATGCCAGAGTTATGAGCCTTACCACACATGAGTATAGGGTAATGACAAAGAACACAAATTTGAAGTTCGAGGTAAATCCATCACGAAATAAAGAAGTTAAAGTTAACAAGAGCTGCCCGTAAAGTAGCGCAGTACTTGATAAAGCGAAGTTGAAAAGGGGACATAATTATGATAAACTGTTTGGGGTTTCGTTTGCATATTTTGACCTCTTTTTGGTAATTTATGTGGATTGTAAATACTGTTCGCAATGTGCAAAATACTTTCTTTTTGCACTTCATCATCATTTTTTCATGTAAAGTAGCATGAATCTGCTTTAAAGACGATTGCTTATTTTGTTTGTTTGTTTGATTGGGTTTTTAAGTCACACTGGCATAGCATACTGTATGTCATATGGCGACGTTCCAGCTTTACTGATGGAGGAAGACCTAATGTGCCCTTTCGTGCATTATTTCAGGCACGAAAGGGCACCTGAGTAGAACCACCGACGATGTTTGCTAGAGATTTACACAAATAGATATATGACTACAGGTCTACAGAATGAAAACTGGTTCAAAGGATCAAATTTAAACTTTGCATTACCTTAAAATATTCTAAGTTTCGTGTTGATATATTTAATACTTCTTGAGAAGTGCTTCAAAAAAGGATTGTGCACGAGGACGAAACCAAAGAACAAAATCCAGCGTTCATACAAGCTTAAAAATGCATTTGAACGGACGAATATGCTGCCTGTACTTATAACAGTATGGAAAAAGAATACTTCAAAAATACCTGTGTGAAAGAAATATGTTTGTATATTTCATTAAGCGTGAACAGATGATGCGGGAAATCATTGTTAAATTGTTAAATCCGTACTTAAAAAAGCGGCATTTAATATTTTGTTTTCGGGGCATTTTATTCTGTAAACTATAAGTGTGTTTAATATTCATGTGTTAAAAAACAGACATTTTTTACGAATCGGTCGTAAGATCATTAAAGCAAAAAGCAAAAAGAGTTTGCTTTTTCTAAATTTTATGAGAATATCTCATTGTTCGACTTATTAGATTCACATTTATTTTTGTACTCGACTAAGGTTTGCCAAACATCTGACGGCTGTACTAATTGAACTCAATAATAGCATGACGCGTCAGACTTATCAGTTTATGTGAACTGGTCACATTGTCTGGAAATGGCATCAGCGTTTTTAAGCCATTTAGTTCTCAGACTGCAGACGGCCTGTCCTTATGCAGACGTTCTAAACTTTTGATGAACCAGAATGTTCAATCCTATAATGTCGCACAAAATTCAAAAGGTCAACGTTATAAAACGGTGCACACATCGTGTCGTTCCATATACGGCAATTCTGGTAATAGTTTTGGCGGTAATTATGCACGATTTTACGTGTAAGTTGATAAAATATAGGCATTCGAGGCATTACGTTCACGCCGTCCATTTGTGAAATTTCTTTAAATATAATTTTCATATATATGTATTACGAATTATCATGAATAAATTTATGGATTTAACATAACCTTAATTAAACAGATTTTTGATATCTTGTTTTGTCTATTTCAGATTCTTCGTCTTCGTTTAAACATGGATGTAAAAAAAGAAATTAAAAATAATAATAAATGAAGGGAGTGAAGATAACAATGTCACGTTTTGATTCAATCTGAACTTAATGCATTTCATATAATTATTTTTTTTCATTAGACTCAAAATTGGGGATATGATATAGGCAATTGAAGCAGCCGCTGATCTAGAGCTTTGGAGCTTCCTATACAGAGTAGGGTTCGGTAGCCCGCTCGCAGCATTTCTGATTTTGGCTTTTTCCAATTATATTATATTTGTTAATTCTACCTGCGATTGCTTAAAGATAGTATTTCTTTGAAATCGAATTTCATAAGGTTTGTTTGGTTGGGTCCGAGAGCAGAGCACGATAATTTTAGAAGTACACTTGTAGTTTTGTATTGATCAATGGAGTTGTTTATTTTGTTTCCTGTAATCTTTTGACAAATAAACAGGACGGCTTAACGGCATGCCCCCTAACCTTGTTTTATGTTATGTTTTTCTTTAAAGGTGCTTGAATGCAGGTGCATGTTGGAAAATAATAATAAATCATTTTTGCTCGTTTGAGAGCATCGAATAAGAGCATAATATTTCTTATTACACAAGTAACAGTAGGGCGGGAAATAGAACAGAAAATCCAGTTGGACAGTGGTAAAAATCTCCACTTTAAAAATAGCACAAGTGATCTTCCCTATTTGCTCGACTGTATTATGGAAGAAAAATGTTCGAGTCATGACGTCGGAACTGTCTATAAACTTTTACCATTTGTCATATTTGTTTATAATTTCTGAATGGTTTGTCTTTACATTGGCTTAGTAAATGACCTTGACCTTTATGGTTATTTTTTAAATCTTCACAAATATATGAAATATAAGGTAACAAAAACCAGTCATATCAGTTTTTTTGCTTATAATATGGATCTTAAAGCTGCCACTTACTGTCATCTACAAGTCTACATATTAAATCTCTGTAATTACTTTCCGAGTTATTCTCTGAACAAGGGAAATACCGACCATGTTTACATTGATCTCTAGGGTGACCTTGGCCCTGATGACAGGATAGGAGACAAACCAGTCCCTATAACAGACAATGTTGCCCTTTGATACCCAAATGTGACCTTGACACGGATGAAGGGGTCTGGATTTTGCGCATGACACATCATCTCATTATGGTGAACATTTGTTCTAAGCAAGCTATTTCAAAATTACCGGATGCATAAAAAAGTAAAAAATATACCCTCTATAAGACAATGTTGACCTTTGATCTTAAAGTGTAACCTTGACATTAGGTAGATGTAAGGGTCCGAGTGATGCGCATGGCATATGTTTTTATGGTGAACATTTGAGCCAAAGTTGTTTTTTTTTCAAATTCTTTGATGTAAAAATATATGGACTGGACATGAAATATACCCTCCATAAGTCAATTGACCTATGATCTCCAAATATGACCTTGACCTTGTAGATAGTGTCTTGTTTGGTGAATGACGCATCGGATTAAAATGGTGAATATTTTTGCAAAATTATTTCAAAATACTGATTGGCAGGTTGGTTTCCATATAATACTCCTATACAAGTCAATGAAGCAAGTGCCAAAGAGTGGTTATTTTTTACCTCATTTTTAGGCTTATTTGAAACACTCCATTAGCTTCTTGTGCACCAGAGAGTAACTACTGTGGGGGATGGGGGCTCACCTACAGATTACTGCAATTCATGTGTTTTCTGATATGTTGTTAAAAAACTTAACAACAAAACAAATTGCCACATGCCATCACAAAAGCTCTACTCTGAAATAAAACTCTAAAATAGCTAATTTTAAATTTTCAAAGGGCCATAACTCAATAATGCAAAATCACATTTCAATATTATTTAATAAGTATCATCTTTTTACTACATGTATTATATACATTCACAATGGTTTTCATATTATATTATATTAACCAACACAATATGGTTCAAAATGGTAATTCTCCTTTTTAAATCCCATTTAGTAAATAAGAAAGGCCCACAACTCAAAAACTCTTTGTGAATTTTGAAGTTTTAGATCCCCATTCATTTATACATTCTTGTCAAGTTTCAGGAATACTGGAATATCAATTCAAACAGTATATGGATCTGGATAAAAGGAAATGTCCTTTTAATATCCCTGTGTCAATTTCATCTTTGAGGGATAAATCATTATTCCCTAGTTGATTTCATCTTTGAGGGATAAATTAATATTCCCCCACCAATTTCATCTTTGAGGGATAAATCAATTTTCCCTAGTCAATTTCAACTTTGAGGGATATAAATCAATATTCCCCACAATTTCATCTTTGAATGATAATTCATTAATATCCCCCTTAATTTCATTTTTGAGGAATTATTTAGTATCCCTATTGATTTCATCTTTGAGGGATAATAAAATACCCCCATCATTTCATCTCCAAGGGATATAATCTGCCTTTGTCTTGATCCAAAACAAAATTGTTAAAAATCAAAACCATTTGCTAAAAAGAGTCTTTAATGGAATGATTATTAAACAATATAATATTGCACATATTAAGTCAGTCAGAAACAATCTTTTTTTGTTTGAGTTACTGCCTCCTAATTGGTTAGTTACAAGAGAATCTTATATTTCTCTGCCCGTGGTACCCTGTTGATAACCAGTCTGCCGTCGTAACTGAGGGAAGCAAACACCCAGGGATCTGCAGTAGACCAGTCCACCATGTATACACTGTCTTCGTGTTCCTCATATGTTGCTATGACACCATCCTTTGGTGGACTCGCTTCCCTGTGGGATTTTACAAGATCAATATATAATATATATATTTTAGTAAAAACAATCAATATATGAGCCGCGTCATGACAAAACCAACATACTGCGTCCGCGACCAGCATGGATCCAGACCAGCCTACGCATACGCGCAGTCTGATCAGGATCCATGCTGTTCGCTTACCAACTCTATTACAAGTAGAGAAACTGATGCTAACAGCTTGGATCCTGATCAGACTGTGCAGATGCGCAGGCTGGTCTGGATCCATGCTGGTTGCAAACCCATTATGTTGGTTTTGTCACGATACAGCTCATGTCTTTAAAATAGCATCTTTTTTAACCTTGTACACATATTTTTCAGTGTAGGAAAAAAAAGTTGATCATCAATTTAAGAAAAACTTTAACGTAATAACTGAAAAGTGAAAGAATATCTATCAAATACTACTCCTCCTAGCCAAATGCATGAAAAGTTTTAAATGTTAATGAATAACTCACAACGGGAAGTTATACAGAAAACTGTCTAAATTGATTTACTATGCAACTTTAGCCTGAGAAACAACTGGTAGCTAATTCCAATTATTACCTAATGCCTTCTCTAAATAGTAATTCCTTATTTACAACAACTATACTGAACCGCACTGAAATTCTTGCATGCACATTGATTAAATGAACTGTTGACCAGTCAACATTTTTAACTGTTTACATCAACTGGTATTTCCGTTAACTCTGCCCAACACTATTCGGTTATCAGGCGTCGCTCAGCTCAATGTTCTGTAGTGATTTTTTTTAGAAAATCAAACATAGGATTCACATGTCAACAATTAAACACTTGTAAAACAAGAGCTGTCAGTAGGACAGCAACGCTCCACTTTTCTTAGTGCTTGATAGTAAAAAAAAATGCTTGATACAGTTACCTCCTCCTGTTTACAGGTTGGGGTCATGATGGTGAACAAGTGTGCAAAGTTTCAAAGCCATATGTCAATGGACTTTGAAAATATTTGAACTATTACAAAAACTTTAACGTAAATTCTAAGTCGTAAAAGTGGCATAATTCTGTCAAAATGCTTGATAGAGTTACCTCCTCCTGTCTACAGGTTGGGGTCATGATGGTGAACAAGTGTGCAAAGTTTCAAAGCCATATGTCAATGGACTATGAAAATATTTGAACTATTACAAAAACTTTAAAAACGTAAATTCTAGGTTGTAAAAGGGGCATAATTCTGTCAAAATGCTTGCTAGAGTTACCTCCTCCGGTCTACAGATTGGGGTCATGATGGTGAACAAGTGTGCAAAGTTTCAAAGCCAAATGTCCATGGACTTTGAAAATATTTGAACTATTACAAAAACTTTAACGTAAATTCTAAGTCGAAAAAGGGGCATAATTCTGTCAAAATGCTTGATAGAGTTACCTCCTCCTGTCTACAGGTTGGGGTCATGATGGTGAACAAGTGTGCAAAGTTTTACAGCCTTATGTCAATGGACTTTGAAAATATTTGAACTATTACAAAACTTTAACGTAAATTCTAAGTAGAAAAAGGGGCATAATTCTGTCAAAATGCTTGACAGAGTTACCTCCTCTGGTCTACAGGTTGAGGTCATGATGGTGAACAAGTGTGCAAAGTTTCAAAGCCTTATGTCAATGGACTTTGAAAATATTTGAACTATTACAAAAATTTTAACATAAGTGGTTACGCGGACGCGGACGCAGACGCCGACGCTCGGGTGACTACAATAGCTCTACTTATTCTTATCGAATAGTCGAGCTAAAAATGATATTAGTATTTTTTTGCAATATATTGTAGTCTGATTGCAAAGTATTAGGTTATAAAACAGTTATTCCACGGGTGTTTGTGGAACAGAAAACAACTGTTGTCCCTCGGTATGAGAGATGACATTTGCCCTCTGTCATCAGCCTCTGGCAACAGTTCCAAATGTCATCCCTGATACCTCTAGGAAACAGTTTTGACTGTTCTACAAGCACCCATGTAATAACTGTATAATAAACACAATAATACCTGCTTGCTCTGTCCTCATTCTCGTCTTCATCATCATCATCATCGTCATCATCATTTTCTATAAGATGACCGTACGGCTCTGATGACAGGGAAACAATATTATTCAAGATTACACGGCTATCACTACTGGAGGAGAGAATTAGCTGATCGTGAAATCTGTTGTACCGTACAGACCATACCCTGTGAAAAATTTATAAATCTAAAGTAAAGGTATCATTAAATCAAGCTTTCTTTAGGTTTTCAGACTCTGATGGGCATGTTTGAGAATAGGTAAAGAGTGGTTTATTTCTGTTATCTATATCCAAAAACACACTTGTTTGTGAAGTTTCAGCAAAATTTACCGTCATTCAACCCATTTAAAAATTGGACTTGTCCATCTTCCATTTCTTTGGGCTGGCCATTATCAATTTAAGGAATATCAGGATGCAAATTTTAAGATTTAATTCTAAGTAAGCCAGTAGTATTTAGCCTGGTCAGATTGCAGTTACAAGACAGAATTGCACGCTGGGCTGGCTCTATACTGGTGGCAAAGGCTTTATCTGTTTTGGTTCCGACAGTTTAAGGGTTAACAATTTTACAAACATTTAAAGTTTATTACTTAATTACCCTCCCCCATCAGCAAATGGCTAAGAGACTGTCCGAACACCATGTTATAGTAAAACCAGTCTATTTCATTTCTTTTAAAAAATCAATAAAATGATATCTTTTATAATACATTAACCTTGCTACATATGAATAATGAAAATGTAAACTGCTTTGAATTTGGACCTCCATTGCTATTTATAGATGATATTCAGGATTTTTCTTTTAATAGAGTATTTATTTTCATTGGTTGGTAAGAAAATAAATATTTTAGGAGTGGTTAAGTAGCCTGATAATTTTCATACCACAAAATGAAAATGAATCCCATTTTATAGAAGAAACTTGAATTTTTTGTTTAATATACACATTTTTCAATTTTTCTGACATTATAATTTGTAGGACTTCCCCTTAAATTTTGTGTATTGGCTGAATTTAGAAGAGTCTGGCAAGACACCAGTGAAAATATGGAAAATACGTTTGCAGTGAAAAAATAAATTTTTTACAGTAAATACAAAATACGGAAAATGATATTAAGCATTTTATTTCATCAATATTTCTCAATATTTCATTTATATAAGTATATAATCAATTAAGATATTTTGATATCAAACATGTCAAACTACTAAAACAAGGATTGCAGTGAACAGCCTTGAGGTCCTTTACATAAATGATAAGTCAGCTTTATTTTGATGGTGTCAATAAATCAAGTTTCCTCTTTCATGTAGATTTACACAAATGCAAATCCTGAATTTTTACGACGGATATTCATATTTCTTGTGCTGACCATAAAAACAAGTTATCAGACTAGTTCTTTAAATATTCTATTCATATACATTTCTGTTTTATTTCTAGCTCACATCCTGTTATTCGAATATCAGGAAATAATTCTGTATTCACCGTCATAAATTTCAACCTTTGACATTTTCCAACCATAAAAAATACCAGCAATTTATAACCGTATTATAAAATAAGAAGATAAAAGTATAATATTTTCTTCAAATACACAGCAAGAGAGTATAAGAACTTTGCTTAACATTCAGAAAATATGAACTACTGGGATAAAAAGAGCAAATTTGTTGATGACCCCCTGCCATATGATATAAAATGAATTTTGTATCTTTACTTACTGTGATACAAAGTCCATAAAATTGAGCAGTATGAAGCAAAATAGCAATTAGTTTAGGACATAAACAGCCTATAAATAAGAAAGGAAATCCTTTTGTAATATGAAGACATTTAAATATTAGTAGACCCTTATTTAATGTCATTCATTTAAATTATGTCACCCTACTAATTTACAATTTTAAGGATTCAAGTATAGTGAAAGCATGCAAATTTCTGCTCAAATTATTATTATTATCATTACTTAGTCCAGAATTAAGAATATTTTGTGTTTTCCAAGCTTACCCCGGGGTACAAACAAACTTTAATCGTTTGAGCTTTGAAAATATTAAGCACAACAGGTTAAACCAGTAGTGCACCGTGAAGCTATAAGCTTGAAAAAACCCACATTTTTCCAAGTTCTGGATAACAACTATTCATTAAATTCACTAAGACTAGGTTGTGGGGCATTACAATTATTAATTCAATTTCAATATCAATTTGTGAATTATTCAATTATTATATGTACCAGCTAGACAATAATCACTACGACAAAATAATTACTTGTACTTTTACTATATCATCTCAACTTGGCTTTATCAAGGACACAAATATAATAAGAAAAATCATGTACAGGCCCCCGATCAAATACAGGAAATAAATAAAATTATTCTATTGTAATATTGTATTAATTAACCTCACTAAACAGAGTTATGTATTTAATGCACCAATAAATTGTAACCCTTGGCCCAACCCCAAGATTACCCCAAAGCTTTCAATTGCAGGGAAAGCAGGGGAGATACATACATGTGAACTTTTTTTGATGATCAAGTGGGAGATTTTTCTTCAAAAATAGGGAGATTTTAGAATTTGCAATAAACTAAGAAGAAAGTTCTGATATTAAAAAGAGGGAGATTTCTTAAAATTGTGAAAATACCCCTTATTTTAAGAAAAATCTTTCAAAATATGGCTGCAGAAAGTGGGAGTCTACTGCTAAAAGTGGGTGAGTTCACATGTATGGAGATAAATTTCCTTCAATCCCACATTGCTGGGTCAACCCAGTGGTTTGGGTTTGGTACTTAAATCCCAGGATGACATAATGTTACATACTAAATTATCTAAAGTCTTGGGAATTAGACGATTTACTTTAAAGATTTCAAATGTTTATGTCTTTTATTTTTGGCTCTTAATTGTGACCCAGATCTAATATAAACTGCAAACCTTGTGAAACCATATGAACAACTTTAGTAGAGCTTCATGCCAGGAATATAACAGGCGAGTTTCATTCAGTTTAACCTAGTGTTTTCAGGGGAGCAGTCATCTGAATTCAAAGTTGCAGCAGTTATATGAATTCAAGGTTGAATCAGTCATACGAATCAAATGTTGAAACAGTGAAATGAATTCAAAGTTGAATTCAAAGTTGGGGCAGTGATGTGAATTCAAAGATGAAGCAGTCATCTTAATTTAAAGTTGAAGCAGTCATATAAATTAAAAGTTGAATCAATGATATGAATTCAAAGTTAAAGCAGTCATCCGAATTCAAAGTTGAAGCAGTCATCTGAATTCAAAGTTGCAGCAGTCATATGAATTCAATGTTGAAGCAGTTACATGAATTCAAGGTTGAATCAGTCACACGAATCAAATGTTGAAACAGTGAAATGAATTCAAAATTGAATTCAAAGTTGAGGCAGTGATGTGAATTCAAAGATGAAGCAGTCATCTTAATTTAAAGTTGAAGCAGTCATATAAATTAAAAGTTAAATCAATCATATGAATTCAAAGTTAAAGCAGTCATCCGAATTCAATGTTGAAGCAATCATCTGAATTAAAAGCTGAAGCAGTCATATATGAACTCAAAATTGAAGCAGTCATATGAATTTAAGGCTGAAGCAGTCATATAAGAATTCAAAGTTGATGCAGTAATATGAATCAAAAGCTGAAGCAGTCATATATGAACTCAAAATTGAAGCAGTCATATGAATTAAAAGCTGAAGCAGTCATATATGAACATAAATTGAAGCAGTCATATGAATTAAAAGCTGAAGCAGTCATATATGAATTCAAAGTTGATGCAGTCATATGAATCAAAAGCTGAAGCAGGTATACATGAATTCAAAGCTGAAGCAGTCATATGAATTAAAAGCTGAAGCAGTCATATGAATTCAAAGTTGAAGCAGTTATATGAATTCAAAATTGGCAAGAGATGACAAACAAAAGTGATCCTAAAAGCCTATACATTAACCATGTGCACTTGATGCTCTAGTGAGCTACCTATACATATTAATTTTCAGATTACTGACTATCTCAGAAGATCTTGTATTACAAAAAAAAATCACACTGTATCTCATTACATCAGACCACAAAAATTGCAGTCAAAATGAAACTATGTTGATTAGAATTACATGAATGGTATATCATTATACAACAAAAACCATCCTCACTATTATGTGATAAGTATATAAGCTGCAAGGTCAAAATGTAACAACATCATGGACTACTTGACTTCCAGAATGAACTAATTTAATTAACAATCCCTCTAGTATAATATAACATTTACATGTTGTAATTGTATTAAAATGGTGACGGGAACGGCTAAATAGATCGATATCTCTGTCTGATAAAATATCTATCTTATAATTAATTAAATCTCATTTAGTCTGCAAAAATTTAATAGTCTTGTAAACAGTGGAACATTAAATGCTTTACCTGAAAAATTATGAATCAATGTTGTTGTTGCTTTGTTTGTTTTTTTAAATGATTTTGAAATTGATAAGTGAATGTGATTTTTGTTAATTTTGTTCTTGAGGGAAATAGGTTTAATCTGTGATTACCGGTACTTTTTTCCACTTTAACCCTTTGCAGCACTAATATGAATTTTATTTTTTAAACTTAGTAGAAATGACATTGAAATGGTTCCAAAAATCTATGAAAACTTAAAATTTGAAAATTGTACTTAGATTGACTGGGGTATTATGAAAAAGAAAATTAAAACCACATACCCTGAATGACAATAAAAATAAATACTTAGTGGGGTTCTTAGATTATTTGAAATTTTGCACACAAAATACTAGTATAAAGCTTAATCAAATGGTATAAAATTTTGAAAAAAATATTTTTTGACCCATCAAGTTAAAAAACCCTCTGTGCATGGTGTCCCTAATAAGACATTAAATAAACAAGAGGGCCATGATGGCCCTAAAGTGGCTCACCTGTATATAGGCCCCCGGAGCGGGGCCAGTTTAAACCCCAGGGCTTTTAATTGAACAAACTTGGTAGACACCCATTAGAAGATGTTTCATGCTAAACATCTAAGGTCTAGCTTGTTGGGTTTTTTAAAAGAAGATTTTTTCAAATTTTTTTCTTTACACATATAGTTAAAAACAATGACACACCTGGGGCAGGGCCAGTTTTGACCCCAGGGCTTTTATTTGGACAATCTTTGTAGACACTTACTAGACAATGTTTCATGCTTAATATCTAAACTCTAGCTATTCAGGTTTTTTCAAAGAAGATTTTTAAGTTTTTGCTATACACATATACGGAAAATCAATGTCCCCTGATCTTTAAAGTTTATGTTATAAACATATAAGGAAAATGAATGACCCCCGGGGCGGGGCCAATTTTGACCTCTATAAGCATTGTATGCTTTCGGATCTAATCCTTTTTTCAGCATTATATTATGTAACTATTGATTGTATGTAATATATGTTTGTGTGAAAATGTTTGAAATAAAATATGTTTAAACTAATGTCCCCTGGGACGGGGCCAATTTTGACCCGACCCCAGGGCTTTTATTTGAACAAACTTTGTAGACACTCACTAGAAGATGCTTCGTGCTTAATATCTAAACTCTAGCTATTTGAGTTTTTTCAAAGAAGATTTTGTAAGTTTTTGTCATACACATATAAGAAAAATGAATGACCCCCGGGGCGGGGTCAACTTTGACCCCAGGGCTTTTATTTGAAAAAACTTGGTAGACACTCACTAGAAGATGTTTCATGCTTAGTATCTAAACTCTAGCTATTTGTTCTTTTTCCAAAAAAGATCTTTTAAGTTTTTGTTATAAACATATAAGGAAAATGATTGACCCCCGGGACGGGGCCAACTTTGATCCCAGGGCTCTTATATTTGAACGAACTTGGTAGACATCTATTAAAACATGTTTCATGCTAAATATCTAAGCTCTAGCTCTTTGCATTTTTTAAAAGAAATTTTTTTAAGTTTTTACTATATGCATATAGGGAAAATCAATGACCCCCTGGGGCGGGGCCAATTTTGACCCCAGGGCTTTTATTTGAACAAACTTGGTAGACACCCATTAGAAGATGTTTCAGGCTAAATATCTTAGCTCTAGCTCTTTGGGTTCTTTAAAAGAAGATTTTTTTAAGTTTTTACTATATGCATTTAGGGAAAATCAATGACCCCCTGGGGCGGGGCGAATTTGACCCCAGGGATTTATTTGAACAAACTTGGTAGACACTCATTAGAAGATGTTTCATGCCAAATATCTAAGCTCTAGCTCTTTGGGTTTTTTAGAAGAAGATATTTTAAGTTTTTTTCTTTTGGTTGCCATGGCAACCAGAGTTCTGCATGGAATGGAATTCTTTGAACAACTTTGTTAAGGCTTCACACAAGGAACATCCCTGTGAAGTTTCATTATGATCTGCCTTATGGTTTCAGAGGATATGTCATTTTAAAAGTGTGAACGAACAACGGACGACGGACGAAGAGTGATCCTAATAGCACACCCTGAGCATATGCTCAGGTGAGCTAACAAGAGCTGTCGGTAGGACAGCAACGCTCGACTATTCTTAGTGCTTGATAGTAAAAAAAAATGCTTGATACAATTACCTCCTCCTGTTAACAGGTTGGGGTAATGATGGTGAACAAGTGTGCAAAGTTTCAAAGCCATATGTCAATGGACTTTGAAAATATTTGAACTATTACAAAAACTTTAACGTAAATTCTAAGTCCAAAAAGGGGCATAATTCTGTCAAAATGCTTGATACAGTTACCTCCTCCTGTTTACAGGTTGGGGTCATGATGGTGAACAAGTGTGCAAAGTTTCAAAGCCATATGTCAATGGACTTTGAAAATATTTGAAGTATTACAAAAACTATAACGTAAATTCTAAGTCGAAAAAGGGGCATAATTCTGTCAAAATTCTTGATACAGTTACCTCCTCCTGTCTACAGGTTGGGGTCATGATGGTGAACAAGTGTGCAAAGTTTCAAAGCCATATGTCAATGGACTTTGAAAATATTTGAACTATTACAAAAACTTTAACGTAAATTCTAAGTTGAAAAAGGGGCATAATTCTGTCAAAATGCTTGATACAGTTACCTCCTCCTGTCTACAGGTTTGGGGTCATGATGGTGAACAAAGTGTGCAAAGTTTCAAAGCCATATGTCAATGGACTTTGAAAATATTTGAACTATTACAAAAACTTTAACGTAAATTCTAAGTCGAAAAAGGGGCATAATTCTGTCAAAATGCTTGATACAGTTACCTCCTCCTGTCTACAGGTTGGGGTCATGATGGTGAACAAGTGTGCCAAGTTTCAAAGCCATATGTCAATGGACTTTGAAAATATTTGAACTATTACAAAAACTTTAACGTAAATTCTAAGTCGAAAAAGGGGCATAATTCTGTCAAAATGCTTGATACAGTTACCTCCTCCTGTCTACAGGTAGGGGTCATGATGGTGAACAAGTGTGCCAAGTTTCAAAGCCATATGTCAATGGACTTTGAAAATATTTGAACTATTACAAAAACTTTAACATAAGTGGTTACGCCGACGCGGACACCAACGCCGACGCCGACGCTCGGGTGACAACAATAGCTCTACTTATTCTTATCGAATAGTCGAGCTAAAAATATCACATAGCAAAATTCAAATGTTCAAGCTGGATGGTTATCCAAATGATGTTATCTCATCACTGTATATGGAAAAGAAACTAGAAATGTGTCCATAGGACACGGGTGCCCCCACCGCGCCACTGTTCTGTCAATCTTATGACTCTAGGTCAAATATTTTTTGAAAACTAAAAATCTTTTTACTAAGTAAAGGCAAGAACTTTACAAATACTTAATAAATCCCCAAGCAAACCCCAAGTTGAAAATTGCAAATTTATACTACTGTAAGTCAATGGCAATAACTCTAACTCTATTGATCAACATTCCTGTAAAGTTTCATGACTCTAGGTCAAATACTTTTTGAGTTACATGCGACACAAGTTGAAAATTACAAAATTTTACTAAGTCAAGGGCAAAAACTCTAAAAATACTAAAAATATCCAGACAAAAATACCCAGGTGCACAACAACACATGTTGATCAACATTCCTGCAAAGTTTCATGACTCTAGGTCAAATACTTTTTGAGTTACATGCGACACAAGTTGAAAATTGCAAAATTTTACTAAGTCAAGGGCAATAACTCTAAAAATACTAAAAATATCCAGACGAAAATACCCAGGTGCACAACTTCACATGCTGATCAACATTTCTGTAAAGTTTCATGACTCTAGGTCAAATACTTTTTGAGTTACGTGCGACACAAAAGAGAACGGACGGACGGACGTAAGGGCGGACAAGGGTAAATCTAAATGCCCGCCACTAATGTGGGGGCACAAAAAAGTGGAGCTATTGTCATGACACTCTCGTCTGTGATGGCATATGAGTTGGTTTAACTTTTTCGTTAAGGCCCAAATTCTCAGAAACTATCATAATTTATTCACTTTGTATACTTGTTTATTGTCTTGAAAGGATGCCATTTCAAAAGGGCAAATAATCCTAGAATTATTTCATGCAATGTCATGCCCCTTTTTCAACTTACATTTTTCAGCTCTAGTTAACCTATTTATTAAGGTATAGTTTCTCAGAAACTATAAAAGCTTTTCATTTCAAACTTGATATACATGTTGGCTTTCAAAATATGACAACATTTCAGAATAATCTTTAATTCATTTAATGCAAAGTTATGCCCCCTTTTATGTAACTTTTTTCTTCTAAGGTATATTTTTTAAAAACTGTCAAAGTTAATCACTTCAAACTTGGAATACGTATTACATTTTGTAATTGAAATGCATTAATTTTGTATAATCAATCACCTTGTCTAAGTTCTTCTAAGGGAGACAGCATTGGACATGTCTATTCACTTATTTCCATAGTTACTTCCCTTGCCCATTGAAAAATCTTGGTAAAAGGGTATGATGTGAACATGTATATTCATAAAAGACTGAGAGTAAAACAAGAGCCATGCAAAAATTTTCAGAGAGAAGACTAATTTGCAGAATTTCTATGCTTGTTATAGCTGGGTTTTTTCCTGAGGCACAAATGTTTTTAGATGCAATATTCATACACATGACCCTTTCCAGTTATTGTCACTAAAACTATATACATGTATAAGAGATATTACGATAACTAGCAAAGTGACATGGATGCCACCACATTTTTCCTATCTAGCCACAAAGAATTCTGTACATTTCCTTGTGTGTATAAACATGACAGTTATAATTTTGGAGTTGTAGGTTGAAATATACTAAATTGTTCTAAATCAGGGCCCATAACCCTGCTGATCTCTGATAAATGTTCACATGCAGACAAATATTCTTTAAAAGATTCATGGCTCTAGCATTTATACCTAGCAGAAATGGGAACAAAACATACAATGTGACAGACAGACAGACAACGGCAAATATATTTGACCAAACCACCAATAAAGTTGTAGGGGCACAACAAAGTCAATACTTACCAGTGTGAATGATCTGAGAGGGTTTTCATTGGTTCAGAAGTGTTTCTAACATCCCAGAATTTGACCCTGCAGTCATCTCCACAGCTAACAAGGTAGTATTGTTTATTTGGATTAAAATCTACATCTCTAACCAGCTGACCATGGGCATTTTCTATCACATAGGTCTGTCTGAAACCAAAGCAAACCTAACATTATCAAACATTTCATGTTTTTGTTTTGTTTTTTTTTTTTTGTTGAGTTTTACATCACAGTATAGGTAATATAGCCTTTTTCCAGCTGTAAAGATGGAAGAAGAACTCTGGTGCCCCTCTGTACATTATTTCAGGCTCAAAGGAGCACCTAAGTAGAGCCAATGATGATCTGTAAGCTACCTGTATATCTTCCTCACATGTAGAATCCGACAATGCTTGCATGGCTCGAACTTACAGCAATAAAAGCATGTGGCTTGAGTTAACAACCTGAACTATTCAGCCACGGAAGCCCTACTAAGCATTTCATGTATATCAGACTACTAGTAAATATTTGTCTCCACATCTTGAAATTTTCCCTAAATATGATGGCTGTTATTTGTCCAGATTGAAAGATAGACAAGTCTATTTAGGATATTAAGCATGGTAAGCATTAATGTAAGTAAAGTAATAAGGAAAGAATCCAAAAGATAGTATGACATACTGCATTGTTCTAAGATCCCAACCTCGTATAAATGTATCGTTGGCTGTGGCTATCTGCACACAGTTATGGTGCGGGTCCCAACTACTACAGGTCAATTTTGGCTGACCTTTGCTCTCTAAACCAGCTGAACTTGACATCTAAAAATATACATGTAGTACATTTTTTTTATTTCATATTTTTGTTAGGCTGTGATTTTAATTAATATTTACCCTAAATTTGTCATATAACACTTTTGTGTAATTTTTTTAAAGAAATAATTAACTTTAGATGTAGCATTGAACCTCCAAATGATTTTACATCTGCAAGGAAACAGCTTTTAAAGTTTTCAAATTCTTGATAAGAATGTGGGCCTAACAACTGAAAAGAACAAGTAATGTAAAGAACAACAAAATTGAGTTGTGAACTTTTTTTTATATAACATGCTCGTTACTCAATAATTGATACAACTTTGGTAGAATACCAAAAGGTCATGCTGCAAGCCAAATTTCCATACAATCAATGTAACAATCCTGCCAAGATTTTTAAACTGGACTTGAGGTTTTTGAGACAAAGATTTTTGTAAGTCTACTATAATGGACACATAAAAAAGCATGATTCACAACAATGACATAAAATATGTAAACATTTTGAAAATACACAGACAAAAGCTTGTTATGGTTTACATAGAAAGACAATAAAAAAGTACAATCATGCAAAAACAGATAAAGTGATCAAAATATTAAAAAATACCTGTGCTGTATTTCCTGATGTGTCTACATCCCACACAATGATATGGTTGTCTGCTAAACCTACTACGTTTGTATTATCACCTGTTGGATGCCACATTATACTGAAAATCATTTATATATATATGAGCCGCATCATGACAAAACCAACTTGTGCGTTTTCGACAAGCATGGATCCAGAGCAGCCTGCGCATCCGCCCAGTCTGATCAGGATCCATGCTGTTCGCTATCAGTTTCTCTACTTGTAATAAGGTTTGTAGGTGAACAGCATGGATCCTGATCAGACTGCGTGAATGCGCAGGCTGGTCTGGATCCATGCTGGTCGCAAACACACTATGTTGGTTTTGTCATGGCGCGGCTCAATTATATCATTGAATCCAAATATCTAAAACCACAAGAGCTTGTCAAAACAGTAGAATCAACTTTTACAATTCTGATTTTTTTCTTTATGATACATTTTTCCATGTAAACCTGTGAAACTTCTACTGAACAGATGGTTTATGAATGTTTTTTTGCCTTTCATGGTTTTACACATATTTATTCTAGTATTCCATTTTCTTCTAGGGAAATGATGCAAAAGTTGCTGTTTCAAAACAAGACCTGCCAATGAAAATGAATGATCTAAATTATTCTTTGCAGGGCTTGCAAAATCTTATTTTGACAAACTTGTCTGTTTTTATCTGAAGTATTTCTTAACTTGTCTGTGGAATATTTATATAGTAAAATTTTGAAAATTTCAATTTGTCAGTACAGGCTTTGGGACAACCTGAGCAATATGGACAATTGATTTTGCCACCCTTGTCTTGTGTCTGTTGCTAAAATAACAACTTGGGTAATAGGTATTTTCACAAAGTGGAATAACTCACTCACTGAAAACCAATCATATAGAAATAAAAGCATTGGTCAGTGAAGTTTTAAGTGGATATCCTCAGTGGTTGTAAATTCAGATCTTGCATACAGAATCTTATCCAGGAATTTACTAGGAATGTTCAAAATGGAAATTAAAAAAACTTTCCCTTTTAAAGAAGTAGAACAAAAAATGCTCAATACTTCTTGAAAGAAAGACAATAGTACTAAGTAAGTAGGCATTATTAAAGGAACTCCACTGAGGTCCTAAGGCCTAAAAACATAAAATTTGAATTTCTTACATAAATTAGCTGGTGAACTGAAAACAGAAAAATTTGCAAAAGTTTTATTAAGAAATATACTCAAAAATAAATTGAAAAAGCGCATTTTGCGCTATTCCTAGCTCGATTTGGGTGAAAAGCATTTTTGGGTCATTTTCACAATTAAAATAATCATTCCAAGAAAGCCTACTGATCAAATGATCTGAAAATTTGCACACAAATATTGGTCTAGACCTACATTGAATAGAATATTAATCTCGAAAATAGTTCCAGTCCTTGTCATGTCAAAAACCTCAGTGGAGTCCCCTTAATATTTCAATAACACAGGGTTAACATTTATTCTAATAATCTTTTTAAACCAACCCTTGTAAATGAAATAAAACAATATTAATTTTTCTGTCTATACTAAAGGTATAAGACCTACAATGATAAAAAATGTTCCCTACCTTTTCATATCACCATAGTCTGAGGCTTCTAGATGACATAATAAACTTAGTGACTGATGTGACGAGTGATCATCTGATGTTTGAACATCATCAAAATCTCCGGGTAATCTCCATAATGCAGCTCGCATCTCAGCTTTACTTTCTGATGCTAGAATATCAATGTTTTTATTGATCAGGTTTGTAACTGACTTTTTATTAAAGCAATGTAAAGAAAGGCATTACCATTTTAAAAAATCCCATAAAATAAATAAAGTCTTTTAGCAAAGACAAAATAAAAATTATTAAACCGTCAAAATAAAAGTGAGCAAGAGCCACTATCAAGCAGCACCATGCTCACCATTTTCTTAATTACACACAAACGCAAACACATTGAAGGAAGAGCATTTTAATAGACATGGTTTTCTAAGAAAACATTTTTTTTTAAATAAAATTTAATAAAAATTTCATATTTGACCTTGACAGTCACGGTCATATACAGATGAAGTACATATTCAAATTATTCAACAAGTCAGTGTGATGTCTAGTATATTTTGTCCCAGTATGAATCAAGTTTGTGTATTGATAATAACAAAATAGCAATTTAAGCCAAATTAAAAAAAAAAACTTGACAATGAAGGTCTATCAAGATCAAACTTCAATACATGAAATTCAACACTCAGTCATAGTTAGTGATGCTTTGTCAAAGCATGAATCAAATCAGTAAATACATAACAAACTTCAAATTCAAAAGGCAAAATTCCATAATTTGACCTTAACAGTATAGGTCATTTAAGGCCAAGGTCATGTTTGACTAATATACACTTCTATTGTGTCATTACATGGTGTTTAGTCAAAGAATTACACAAAACCATAAATAACAAAGTAATTATCTAAACAAAATTCCATAAGTTGACATTGACAGTACAGGTCATTTTAAGGTGAAAGTCAAACCTAAAAAGTTCTTCATGTCAGTTTTGTCATAAATGTTGTATAATCCAAGTTAAAATCAAATGAGTCTATAAATAACAAATTTATTATAATTTAAAGCTAAATTCAATAACTTGATAGTCAAAGTCATTTTAAAGTCAAGGTCATATTTGATTTCTTCAACAAGTAGATTTTGTCACGAGAGGTGATTTGTCAAACTATAAATCAAATCACTAAATAAATAACAATATAACAATTTAAACAAAATTCGTAAACTGACCTTTGGCTTCACAGTAAAGGTCAAGCTCACGTGCCAGGTCTTATATAGTTAATTGGGCCCGGGCAAATTACATTAAACAAATTCATGTAAAAACTAAGTGTAACATACTTTTATTATAGCAGGTTGTAAGGAGATTTTTATCCACCGTTGATGCACTGATATGCCATATTTCACCCTCTCTGTGTAGGAATACATTTTTATTTATCACATTATTTTCATCATCAAAATCTATATGATGCACCTAAAGAAAAGAAAAACAAAAGGAGGTCAATACCATTTTTATACCAGCTACATTGTTACAAAATGGACTGGCTTATTTTTCTCCACATCTTATAAGTTAGTAAAAAGTTAAAAACAGACATGTTTCAATAGAAAAGACTTAATATTTATATCAATGACAGTAAATTGCTCACCTGAGAACCATTTTGCTTAACTAGGTCATAATTTCTAACAGGAAAAAGTAGGTCACTCAGTCATATTCAAGGTCATTGTTTGCTATGTACAAAAACATACCCGTTGACGGGTTGTCCAGATTTGTAAAAACCTTAGCTTTACTATTTATCTATTTACCCATTTATTTAGTACTGGTGATCTCCTATGCAGGAATATCACTGATCGCAGTGGTATTATCTGAACATTTGTGACTGAGGACCATAAAAAGGTGCTACATGGTATATTTGTAAAGGAGAAAATGTTGTTAAAAAATTGTGGACAAGTCAACCATAAATAATGGACACATTGCCATCACAAATGCTTGCTGCTGAGCACATTTTGAGCTCACCTCTGAGCATAAAGAGATTAGGTGAGCTTAAAAAAAGCAAATTAGAAACATAGCTTACCTGATTTTCCTGCCTGAGAGATTGTGTACCAACGATGAATCGTATATCATCAGTTTCACCAGCCTGAGCTGCTAGGGCCCGTGCCTGGAAAACAGAATTTATAATACATTTACTTACAGATACAAATTCTGAAAGTGACATTCACAGTAATTCCTGTTCAGTGTTGAACTAACTATATTAAGTAAGATGGCCGATATTAACATAACTGAATCCAGTGATTTTCCTGCTTATATAACAGACTTCGATAAAGGGCCTCTTCCCAATTGAAATTTTCTTTAAAATCATGCAGTTTTCCCAAAAATCTGAACTTAAATCTGCTTTTTTACTTCCCAAATGAGCAATTTTAGCAATAATTTTTCCCAAAACTAAAAGGCTAAGGCCTCTTCCCAATTTACCTTAAGTGAGAACAAGAGGGCCATGATGGCCCTGAGGTCGCTCACCTGTATATAGCCCCCCCCCCCCCCTTTCGGGCCAATTTTTACCCAAGGGCTTTAATTGTTTATTTGAACAGACTTGGTAGACACCCATAAGAAGATGTTTCATGCTAAACATCTAAGTTCTAGCTCATTGGGTTTTTTAAAAGAAGATTTTTAAAGTTTTTACTATACACATATAGTTAAAAACAATGACACTCCTGGTGCAGGGCCAGTTTTGACCCCCGGGCTTTTATTTGAACAAACTTTGTAGATATTTACTTAAAGATGTTGCATGCTTAATATCTAAACTCTAGCTATTTGGGTTTTTTCAAAGAAGATTTTTAAGTTTTTGCTATACACATATAAGGAAAATCAATGACACCCCCCCCCCCGGGCGGGGCCAGTTTTGACCCCAGGGCTTTTATTTGAACATACTTGGTAGACAACCATTAGAACATGTTTCATGCTCAATATCTTAGCTCTAGCTCTTTGAGTTCTTTAAAAGAAGTTTTTTAAGTTTTTACTATATGCATATAGGGAAAATCAATGACCCCCTGGGGCGGGGCCAATTTTGACCCCAGGGCTTTTATTTGAACAAACTTGGTAGACACTCATTAGAGATGTTTCATGATAAATATCTTAGCTCTAGCTCTTTGGGTTCTTTAAAAGAAGATTTTTTAAGTTTTTACTATATGCATATAGGGAAAATCTATGACCCCCTGGGGCGGGGTCAATTTTGACCCCAGGGCTTTTATTTGAACAAACTTGGTAGACATTCACTAGAAGATGTTTCATGCCAAATATCTAAGCTCTAGCTCTTATGGTTTTTTAAAAGAAGATTTTTTAAGTTTTTATTATATGCATATAGGGAAAATCAATGACCCCCCGGGGTGGGGCAAATTTTGACCCCAGGGCTTTAATTTGAACAAACTTGGTAGACACTCACTAGAAGATGTTTCATGCTTAATATCTTAGCTCTAGCTCTTTGGGTTCTTTAAAAGAAGATTTTTTAAGTTTTTACTATATGCATATAGGGAAAATCAATGACCCCCTGGGGCGGGGCCAATTTTGACCCCAGGGCTTTTATTTGAACAAAATTGGTAGACATTCACTAGAAGATGTTTCATGCTTAATATCTAAGCTCTAGCTCTTACGGTTCTTTAAAAGAAGATTTTTTAAGTTTTTACTATATGCATATAGGGAAAATCAATGACCCCCTGGGGCGGGGCCAATTTTGACCCCAGGGCTTTTATTTGAACAAACTTGGTAGACACTCACTAGAAGATGTTTCATGCCAAATATCTTAGCTCTAGCTCTTTGGGTTCTTTAAAAGAAGATTTTTTAAGTTTTTACTATATACATATAGGGAAAATCAATGACCCCCTGGGGCGGGGCCAATTTTGACCCCAGGGCTTTTATTTGAACAAACTTGGTAAACACAAACATTAGAAGATGTTTCATGCTAAATATCTTAGCTCTAGCTCTTTTGGTTCTTTTAAAAGATGATTTTTTTAAGTTTTTACTATATGCATATAGGGAAAATCAATGACCCCCTGGGGCGGGGCCAATTTTCTGACCCCAGGTGACCACCAAAGGAACATTCCTGTGAAAGCTTAGTGGTTTATGAGGAGATGTTTTAAAATTTGAACGGACGGACGCCGGACGAAAAGCGATCACAAAAGCTCACCCTGTCACTTTGTGACAGGTGAGCTAAAAATCACTGGAATCAGATGCCTAAAAGGAGTGTCAGGACTTCAAATATATATAATTATTACAAGGAGCTGGAAACAATCAGGGTTCTCTCTCTCTCTATACCTGTACCTGTAATAGGTGGAATATAGTTCCCTTGTACAAGGGAATTTCATGCACATTAAATGTTTTATTTCCTACATAAACCTACAGAATGATGTTTGTCAACTAAGAGACCCCTAGGGTGGGGCCATTTTTGACCCAAGAAACAAGATTCACCTAACTTTTTAGAGGACCACAAGGAGATGCTACATGTCAAATATCATTCTAAGATCTGAGCATTGTAGTTTCTAAGAAGAATTTTTAAGATTTTCTTTTTAAATTCTTGTTTTAGCTCCTGTGCTCTATTTAAGCATTAGACTGGAACCATTTACAGGGCCAGCAAAATCAATTGTCCGTATTGCCAAGGTTGTCCAACAGCCTGTACGAACAAGTGAAATTTTTTCAAGAATTACCTATGTAAATATCATATGGTCAAGTTAAAAAATGCTTCACATAAAAACGGACAAGTAAGTGAAAATCAGATTTTGCCTACCTTGATTTATTTAACTTCTGAAGAGGGCTGCCTAAGAATAATTACTCTTAACTTTTGTCAAAATCCATCAAGCGGTTTAGGAAGAATTGTTGTTTAAAGAAATTTCAGACAACAAGGGATGACAAATGACAGACATACTGCCATCACAAATGCTGACCTCTAAAAAGAGCACAGGTGAGCTAAAAAATGTGCAAAATAGGTCTTGTTTAGTAGATTTATTGAATATACATGTAGGTTCAAGTTCCATATCATTCAGCATATAGATACATGCAGTTAATGTACAACTACTTGAACATTCTATACACAGTGTTTTTATTCTCTACTTTGGGAATGGTGCCGATACCAAATTGATTGGGAAAATGTGTTATTTTGACTCAAATTAGGAATTTTTATTAAGCATTTTTTCAGCTACAAATAAGATTTTTCATAATGAATAAAGACAGCTAACAGCTTCCACTGTCTAGGTAGAACTATTGAGTGGTGATTTATATAAACATGTTTGATAAGAGAAATCTCATTGCCTTGTGGGAATTTTGAACAGTCATTTTGGGAATTTTCACATTAGAAATTGGGAATTTTAATGTCTTTTTTCCATTGAAATCAGAAAAAACACACTGATACATGTATGTATTCAAATGTAGGGAATTTTTACCTGCAAATGGGGAATGGGGGGATATACTATGGGGAAAACATTATCAATATAAGTTATTGTTTCCTGTTTCAAAATGTATAGGGTTTTTTAAAACATAAATATGGAGTTCTTGACAAATAGAATATACACTCATAGAACTTTTGATATAAAATGGAATATTCCTTGATGTTAATTTTCAATACAGCTTTTTGCCCTAAAATTGTGAAAGACAGAGCATGATTTTCTTGAAATTGTGAAGTTTTTCATCATAAAATTGTGGAAGAAACATGATATTGACACAATTTGTGGAAGTCAATTTACAGGGAACATTTTTATTATCTGATAAAAACTCATTACTTGAGATATCAAAACATGAAATGCTTAACATTACATGTTTACATGAAGCTGTGATTTTCATCAAGCTGTTAACAAAGCAGTCTGAGGGACAATTTTATCAGCTGCCGCTGTACAATTTTTAACATGATCTTGACCTTGGAAGAAGCAACCTGGGTTTTGAGCTCTGCGCATATATCATAATGGTGATCATTTCGTCCAAGTGATTTTAAATACTTTTTGATGGTTTAAAGGTTATGGAATGGACACAAAATGTGGACTTTTATATTTTACCTTTAAGCGTGACCTTGACAATGGGATAACAACCAGATTTTTGTGCTCTGCAATTAATTTAAGTGATTTATATGTTCTAATTATTTCAAGTTATGAAGCACACACAAAATGCTGACTTTTTTACATTTGACTGTGAAAGGGACCTCGACCTTGGGGTATCAACCTTGGTAACAAACAACCTTGTTGTTGTGCTCTGCACATCATCTCATAAACACCGCATCATAAACATAAAGATGATCACTTGTTCATTTTTTTTTAAAAACTTTCATTAGTTTTTAAGTTATGAATTATGATTTTTTTACATTTGACCTTTTAGAATGACCTTGACCATTTTGGTAGCAACCTGGTTGTTGGGGTCTGCTCTGAATGCACATCATCTCATAATGGTTATCATTTGCGCAAAGTCATCATAAAAACTTTTCATTAGTTAAAGTTATCAAGCAGACATGAAATGCTGACATTTTTAACATTTAACCTTTAAATATGACCTTGACCTTCAGGGTATTGACCTTGTTTTTGCCTTCTACACATTGATAGGGTTGTACATATTGTAATGGTGATCATTTGTGCAAAGTTAATTTAAACATTTTCATTAGTTTAAAAGTAATAAAGCAGACACAAAAATGCTGTTGACAGACAGACTGACAGACAAAGGTCATTCACCTATGTGGCATATGCAGTATTTTCTCAAACCAAATTTTTCCCTATTTATGCCAGGGGCCCAGTAACTTTTTGGCTTATACATGTATTACAGACTCTGATAATCATAACACAATGTAAATGGCATTTTCCCAATCGAAATTTTCTTAAAATTCCCAAAAATCTGAACTTTAAACCGCTTTTTTGCATCCCAATTTAGCAATTTTAGCAAAATTTTTTCCCAAAACCAAGAGGCTAAGTCCTCTTTCCAATTAAGTGAGAAAAATCACTGGGGCATTTTCTCTTGGCTTATAGGCCAGGCTGTTCTTACATATGTCATAATCTCAAAATCAAATTCCATCTATGAAAATACTGAATTACAGTCAACCCGGCCTCAAGTTAACCAGGCCCCAAGTCAACCGGCCTCAAAATTGGTCAACCCGACCCCAGAATTGGTCAATCCGGCCCCACAGTATTTTTATTTGGTCAATGCGGCCCTAAAATTGGTCAGTGCGGCCCCAAAATCGGTCATTCCGGCCCCAAAATATGTAATTTTCAAAGAAAACTATTCAGGTCATTTTGTTGTATAATGGAATAAAATTATTATTTGAGTATTATTAACTATAGATCAAAAGTTAAAAAAAACTCGAACTGGCATAAAAGTGTCGGTAAATTTAATTGCACCGATTAAGACTTTAGTACGCAATAGTGATAATGAATAATTATATAACATAAACAATTATATGCAACTCAACATTATTTCAGATGTGATAATCAAACAGTTTAAAGCAATCAATTAACAAAAAAGGTATAGCTGTGAAAACAAATCCTTTAAATTCGATGTAAATTAAAGATGGTTTCATAAGTGTTAATGCAATAATTAGAAAGAAATGCATAGAATTTTGAGTTAAAAGGTTCAGGGCTGGGAATCAAAACTGCGTCGTATCCTACAAAATGTAAACAAACGCCGCCATCTTGGAACGAAAAACGTATGTTTTTGTTTATAACTCTTTTTGTTGGAAATGACTGAAAACAAGATATATGTATTAACACGCTACACTATTTTCCGCTCCGTTCGGTATATGTTGCTTGCACAACAATTTTGTAAAACAAAAGTTATAGCGAACTTGCAACTCGAAGCGAGGCAGAATTTTTATGAAAATGTGTGGATACGACGCAGTTCATATTGCTTTATCTATCGGTTTTTCCTTCAAATCAATTATATATTTGTTTCAGAGTTCACCATAAACTTCGAAATATAATTTTGCATCATTTACTAAAATTTTATTAAAAAGAGATGTTTATTTTCTAAGAAAATAATGATTTTTACGAAATGATACGACGCAGTTGAAAATAAAATATGATACAACCCAGTTGTATTTTTGGCAGTCTTTTCAACAGGGATAAGTTTGGCAATATATTTCTATTTTATGGAATAATCACTTGCGCTAGATAAAAACCCAGATCATTTGCGGTGTAAAGCAATGTTCTGTTGATTATTTAGAATACTATGTGTCATATCCAATATAACATTTAATTTGAAAGTTTACATTGCGGAAGCTACTTTTCAGTTAAACATGAACATGTTACCTTATTGATCATAATATCTGAAATAATTTCTTATATTTTCCTGTATGTTCAATATTATCCCTAATTTTTTTCGCAAAAAAATTGTAGAAATCTATTAACTTAAATTCATTTTGGCTAGCTACGCTCTAAGTTAACTGTGGTTCTGCATGTTCTGGGTATTGACTGCTTTTTTGTGGTTTCTTTTCAAACTTTCACTCTACACATTAGCTTTACTAGGGGCGAGGACCTCAGGTGCGCCTCTGTGCATTATTTCAGGCAAAATGTTGTACCTGCAGAGAACCGTCGACATTTTGAAACTAGCTTGATAGGTTTTCCACACAAAAGAATAAAAAGTCCCTGGTGGTTTTCGAATTCATAGCAGTTCAGTTCAAGTGATTTGAATTCAGTAAACATAAACAGCTCGGCCTCGGTCGGACACACCTGTCTGATTTGTTTTTTCAACAAAATTTGTTAACGTCAGCTGTACAAATAAGCAGCTTTTTTATTAACTTCTGACGTGAAATTTTAAGATTATAAATATTTGAAATATTTATAAAGAGAATAAAATTTAAATTTCTTATTTCGGTATTAATAGCAGAGAAATTTTCAATGTAAACAGGGGGTAAAACTTTTGTTTAAGTTTTCAGGCAATTCATTATCAAATAAAAATCACACTTTAGTATGAAGGTATGTTAAGATGTCATGTCTCTAGTCTGTTGAAAATTCGATACGATAATCTGACATTTTCTGTTCAATATTGTGAAAACTTAATAATTCTTCAATACTGTTGAAAGATCATGTCTGCCTATATCTGTATCAAATTTATCGGTGCATAGCGTAAAATACCTTTGCAAAACGGACACCTTTTTTACAAAATAATTTGTAGTTGTATCATATGTAACTCGATTTTGAAAAGTTTTTTGATGGAGAAGAATGATACTCAAGTGCAAGTATAGAAAATACATCCCGTAGACATTTCCTCATCGGCGATAAAGAAACGCAGGGGTAAAGTTCCGCGGCGCTGAACATAAAATGACTAAACGGAACGCATAACCTACTTGCAAAAATATATTGTAGCTTAACCATTTATAATATTATTTTAAAAATTTAATGTTCAGTTTCAAATAATAAAGCTCATCTGTCCTCGTCGATTATTAAGAAAATGAATACAATACAATTGGCACGTAAAAGACAAAAGTAATAACGGAATTGACGGAAATTATTGCTCATTACAAGTAACAACGGTAGGCATGCAATTTGCGCATTCCCGATAGCGAGAGACCTTTTCAAAATTTGTATATTTTCCCTTTTTTTTTTAAGAAAAAATTCATTCCTGATTAATACAGGGTCCAGTGGAGGTTACACTGGAATATTGAATTTTGTATCAAAAATAGTAATCACTCCCATTTCGAACTCACGGGAATAAGTTTATAAGCATGCTAAGGCAACAGTAGAACACGTTGTCATATGGGTGTGCGATCACGTGTTTCAATGTATATTGCATTTGATACAGCTTTTTCGAAATTTGTAGATGATTATGATTAGTACTAAAATGCGACCGAAAAATGCAGCCTTAATAGAATTGTATTACATTTCCATTTTTATGAAACCAATGAGTGACCTCTGCTTTTGACTTAAGTTGTAAACAAGAAATGTTGTAGGACGTTATTGGCATACCTAGCACATAATTTAAATATTTTAACCAATATTCAGCCTGCAATGAAAATACAACTGCATCGTATCATATTTTATTTTCAACTGCCTCGTATCATTTCGTAAAAATCATTATTTTCTTGGAAAATAAACATCTCTTTTAAATGAAAGTTTAGTAAATGATGCAAAATTATGTTTTGACGTTTATGGTGAACTCTGAAAACGAGTATATAATTGATTTCAAGGAAAAAACGATAGATAAAGCAATATGAACTGCGTCGTATCCACACATTTTCATAAAAATTCTGCCTCGCTTCGAGTTGCAAGTTCGCTATAACTTTTGTTTTACAAAATTGTTGTGCAAGCAACATATACCGAACGAAGCGGAAAATAGTGTAGCGTGTTAATACATATATCTTGTTTTCAGTCATCTCCAACAAAAAGAGTTATAAACAAAAACATACATTTTTCGCTCCAAGATGGCGGCGTTTGTTTACATTTTGTAGGATACGACGCAGTTTTGATTCCCAGCCCCGAGGTTTGCATAAATTAAGTTTACAACATTTTTTTTTCAGTTCATTTGAATGTTTTTATTGAATACGTTTTTCAGTATAATTAATATTTGTTTCATATTTTATAAACTTATTTACAAAGAATATTTACTGTGTAAAAAGCATTGGAATATCAATAAGTGTTTGAGAAATTGATAGTGTTTTGTGTTAAATCATTTTATGTCATTATGACAGATAACTGTATTGATTGTGGATATATTGTGCGTGACAGACAGGAGGCAGTGACTTGCAATACATTTATAATTAATCTTACTTAAAAACTGTTAAAGGAAACACTTTAGTGTGCTTTTGGTAATTTCTCTTTTTTAACATACAATAACATAGTAATGATTAGAACACATGATTTGTCAATGAAAAAGTTTAGTTTTTTCTTAATACTTCTATTGTAGAGAGGTTAAGGTTGAAGACAGACGTCACCTTATTTTCGCGACGGTAAAAACAGTAAACTATGCATGTATTGCTTGTTTGTTAATATTGATAGTTTTTATATAAAATAAATAATAAAAGATATCATCGTTATTCGTTAAACTTTTATTGTTGTTTTTGTTGTTAATTTTTATTTATTTCTTGATAAGTGTTTATATTCTAAAGCAAAATAAATAAATAAATAAATAAAAAATGGGGCCGGGTTGACCAGAAATAATATTGGTTTGGGGCTGGGTTGACCAATTTGGGGCCAGGCTGACTTGAGGCCGGGTTGACTTGGGGCCGGGTTGACTTGTAGCGAAAATACTAAATACATCCACAAAATACACAAAACATAATTTAACATGTTACCATAAAAAGGAAATTAAAAAAGTTTAATATATTATAATCAGGGCGAATCCTCACTACAATGGGACGAATCGTTAGTGGGGCGAATCGTTACATTGCAGTAAGTTTTGTTGAATCGCCGCAAAGATTGTATACCATGACATCAATGATTGTTAACTTTTTCTTTCTGTTCTACATTATCATTTGCAATTATAAAGCAAATGTACCTGAAATTCTAACCCATATATCACTGGAGCTTCGTCTTCCATCCTTGTTTGTTTACGTTTTAAACGGTATGACTAAAATGCATCTCGGAGATTTTTGGCGCAACGAGCGCAAAGGAGTTTAACCAACATTGCAAGAATTTTAAAAGCGAAAGTAGCTTGACACCTTATTCTGAAATAATATTTATTGCAGTTAAAGCAGGGTTCTGTCTGTAGAGAAAAATAAATAGTATGCAGAAAGCGTCTTATTTGTATCCTATAGATGCACAAAAAATCCCACCAACGATTTACACTTGGATGGACATAATTTCACTACATTTGTAAGCACATGTATATATAAATATAATAAAAAACCTAATAACCTTTTTTTCATTTCAAATTTGAAGTTGAATTTGCAAAAACAGTCTTATATCCATGCCTTTTTACTCTATATCGTCTACATTTGCGTAAGTAGCTAAGTTGTGAGAATCGTTGAATTCAAACTAATTGCCCCTTACCAGAATGAATTAAATCCCACCATGGACCTTGGGGTCTTCCGTGTGAGGAATCTATCCGGCTAGCTTACGGAACATCGGTGATTTTACTTAAATAGGTGTCCATTTGTGCATACAATAATGCAAGGACGGGCACTTGAGGTCCTCCATCACAAGAACATGTAAAGTTGGGAATTTTTTATTTTTTATTTATTTATACATTTAAGGAACATAGCACATGGTACATAATATAAAACACACAGTTAAGAGATAACATATAAATCATATATATATAATGAGGTCATAAAAACAGCATAAAAGAGCACACTTTTGTCATAAAAAATAATAAAAGGTACTATACACCTATGGATAACCAATTAAGCTAAAAGCTTATTTCCAATGGGGTCCATAGAAATAAAAATACATAATTACAACCCTTTCCCCCCATAAAAAACAAAGCAAATAAAACTAATCTAATGAAAGTCGCCATATGACCTTTAAAGTGGTGGTGCAACGTAAAACCCAACAATAACAATTAAAAGTTATAAATCTATATTGTCTATGTTTAACTTTACTGCGTAAAAATCTATATTTTAGACCAGCACATACACTATGATGATGAATGATGACTTTAATTAATATTGAGTTCCCTGAATTCATGTTCATGTAGTTATACACATAAATGTAATGCGGAGGCTGGGGCTGTATTGGCATTACTTTTTATTTGTTCCCTAGAATATCATAATATCAACAATTTAATTGCAAACTGAATTGATAATAGTTTTTTCCCTATTTTAAAACTAAAAAAAATAAATAAGTTTTTAATTTGAAGTTTTTTACAAAATATATTTTCTTTGTTGCACGAAAACCCCAAACCCTATTTTTCCAAAAAAATTTTTTAAATTAAAATTCTTTACAAAAAAAATTTGATACATGTAATTGCAATAAACGAGACCCCTAATTTTTATGAAAAAATACAACGAGCTGGTTGTTTTTTTAAAAATTTTTTAAAAATTTTTGCATTAGTCTTTGACAGTTAAGCGATGTCTCTTATTGCAACCGGGTGTAATTTTTAGGGCAGTTTTTTAAAAATGTTAAAAAATGCCTTCCTTTTCTTTTTTGAATTTTGATAAAGTAAATATTTTGAGTTTTCCCTGTTTTACGGGAAGGAATAGGGTTTTTATAAAGATTTAAATTAAGGGAAGGGGTAAGGCAATTTAAGGGGAAGAAATTTAAAGGTTAAAAGGGTTTTAAGGCAAAAATCATTCAAGACAAAAACAAGATTTAAATCAAGACAAAAACAAGGGGGCCTTTTTTATATTTTATTCACAGAAAAAATAATAACACCACGGATTTATATTACATAAAAATATGTAATATAAATCCGTGATAACACTAACTATGAAAGCTATTTTCGACATTACATACAGACTATCCTTAACATACAAACAAACAAACTGTATAAAAGAAAACTAGATTAAGAGACTCAATATTGTTCATCTATGATAAAGCTGTAAAATGATTTGAAATACACAAGCACAGTCATATAGATAAGATAATTTATTGCAAGCACATATATCATTATTTATTTATTTATTATTATTTATTTAGACTAGAATGTATTTTATGAACACTAAGCTATAGTTTATTTAAAATATTTTTTTTTTATTCCTGCAACTTCTTTTTCGTCTTTTCTTTTGATTACCGTATCAAATTTTAGTTAGCAATGCAGCATACATAGCCTAGTCATTAATTATATGATATCCAACGTAATCTCATTTTCACGAAAATGTGAATTAACAGGGTACTCAGTAATCTATATGGATCCCTGTTATAGATTTTAAGCCATGGTGTCATTGCTCACTTTCGTCAAAAATCTCACTTTCGTATTTTAGGCAAACCCTAAAAAATCACCATTGCGTATTTTAGTCATACATTTCCAATACGAAGTCGTAAACATCCTGATTTGCTTGCCAATAAATCTGGGGGAAAATGAAGTAATTGAAAAAACTATTTGAATTCACTTTCTAATATATTTAATTATCTGTACTTAGTAGGTCACAGGTGAGAGACCCTTTTTTTGCGACAATCGTAAATTCAGCCAGTTACCTCCCCTTTTCAGATGTTTGACAGATGAACTTTCAGATCGTAAACGGTATAAATCGATATATTTGCCTGGAATATTTTACGTTAGCCATAGTAAAAAGTCAATGCATTTTCTTACTTAATTTAATAATTTTGTCTTGTCTGCCTGTATAGGAAACAAAAAAATGATTAAGAAATTCGTTTTCTGTTACTGCAAGGGAGATAACTAAAGAAAAATTGCAGCTAAATGAAATCACTAGATGTTGACAATACCATTATCATTGTCCCCACTTCAACCATTTTTGAACAACAAATAGACATGTCGTATTTTTGCTAGGTCGGACACATTTGTGCAACTTGACCGCAATCAATTTTCTACATGCAAAAACACAGTGACAGTTCCAAATATTGCCAGAGTTGTGAGAGTAACTGCCCGCACAAAATGGATAAAATACTTAAAAAGAAACAATGGTACCCACAACAGTTTAAGTGGGAACAATAATGTGATTGTCACTGTTAAGTGGGACTGGCAGATTACCTAATATGAAATTAGGCAAAGGCTATTACGCAGGGTTCTCAATAAGAGCCGGCCGCCGGCCGAAATGACCGTTTAAAAACACCTTTTGCCAAGGCCGGTTGAAATTTGTAAAATTTTCAATTAATACCAAAAACTGAGAACAGAATTTGACTGTCAAATACTGATGCTCCGCGATAATTGTTAATTTTTCAGTAGAAACTCAATAAATGATTGAATAAATCTGAAAACAGACTTTTATTAGCAAATAAATCTTAATTATACTTGCATAAAGTGAAACCGGAAGTCCAACTCCATTGCCGATTTTTCCAGCCTACTGCAATATTGCAATGAAAATACTTGCTAAAACTGGACACTATTCAAGGGTTTAAACTTTAAAAAACATTTGTTTGCTATAAAATCGATTATCGTAAAATCAATTGTTGATAGTTATCATTTATTTACACTGATAATACTAAAATACATTCATGTGTTGTCGAAAATAGATCTGATTTCGGATGTAACTTATTCGGACATGCAATTACGGATTGGGAAAAATTTCATAAAAGAAATGTTTTAAATAAAATATCTTTCTTTGACTGAACTTCATACACTGATATATACAATGCTTATTTATGTATGAGCAATTTTAATGCAAGTAATATAATATGAATAACAGGCTTGTTATCAAAGTTTTGATACCCTACTGGTCGGGGACCATCAACCAGACACTTTTTGAACACTTTTCCGTACAGATTTTATAATTTTTAACATAGAGACCTAAAAATTTGACACAGTTCAGCTAGGTTCTTCTCCTAACTAACAAACTAGTTTGTTTATTTCTGATTGCATTGACACTTATATCTGAGGCTTACAGGGAGGGTATCAAAATTACCTAAATTTTCTTCACTACAGTACCATGTGTCTTGACAGATATGTACATGACATGATTTTATTTGAAAGTTTGGGTGTTTTGATTTGTGATTTTCAACATGATAAACAATATTTCAGCAGCAAATGCTAAAGTTTTGGATTTTCTATTGTTTACTCGCAAATGATTATAGCTGGTATATGAGGTCATGCATTGCTTTCTTGACCCCAAAATTTCAATGTCAACATTTTTGAAATAGACATTGAAATATTACCATTTAAGGAGGTTGAAATAAAATTATTTACTTTAATTATAGAAGAAACATGCATTTATTGTTGATAAAAAAGTGACTGACAACCACTTTACAAAGAAAATACTAAATTTAGCATTTTATGGGCCGTTCAGGTTTGGTGGTTGTCCGGTTTTGGTGGTCCCCAACCAGTAGGTATAAAAATTTAGGGCAATATACTTTGATCAAAATGACTTATAATATATAATTTGTTGTTCAAATCAGGGACAAAGAAATATAAATCCAATGTTCCTACTCAAATCTTATACCAAATAACTGATACATTTTTAGTGAATTACATGTACTGAGATTTGTTGGCATAAATAGTAAAAGTTTGTTTTTGTGACATTTGCTCTGTTCCATGTCTGACAAATAAGTTTATAGAATTTATGAGTAACACATTTAGGTCCTGTCGATTTGGATCAACTGTAAAATTCCCTTATCTTACAATAAATTTATCTAAAATTTCATAAACTTGCAATATTAGATATATAATTTATGAGGATAAACAATGAAGAATATTAGTTTTTAATTTGAGCCTGATCCTTAAATTTTTGTGAACACTGGGCCTGTTTTGATTTTGTAAACATAAACTGCACATTGATGTATATATGTAGATGTGAAACTGTAAGCTCTATTGAAATCTTGTTAGTGCCATGTCTGCAGCTTGACAGGCAACACATAATTTGCTTATTTTTTATTATGCCCCGCCTCCTTTATCTTTCGGCGGGGGGGATATTATATAGAAATAGTCTCCGTCGGTCTGTCCGTCCGTCCTTCCGTCCGACATTTTTGTCCGGAGCATATCTCAAAAAGTATTTGAGGTATCAACTTGAAACTTCATAGGTGGATAGACCTCATTGAGGAGGAGTGCAGTGCAGAGTTATTGCCCTTTGTTATTTTTCAAAATTAATTTTTGTCCAGAGCATAACTCAAAAAGCCTTGAGATATCAACATGAAACTTCATAGGTGCATAGATCTCACCCAGGAGGTGTGCAGTGCACAAGAATGATAACTCTACCTTTCATAATTTTTGAGTTATTGCCCTTTGTTATTTTTCATACTTAATTTTTCACCTGAGTGGAGCATAACTCAAAAATTGTTTGAGATGTCAACATGAAATGTTATAGGTAGATAGATCTTATTGAGGAAGAATGCTGTGCGCAAGAATGGTAACTCTTTGCTATATAATTTTTGAGTTATTGCGCTTTGTTCTTTTTTCATATTATTTTGTCGGGAGCTTATCTCAAAAAGTATTTGAGGTATCAACTTGAAATTTCATAGGTGGATGGATCTCATTAAGGAGGAGTGCAGTGCACAAGAATGATAACTATACCCTGCATAATTTTTGAGTTATTGCCCTTTGTTATTTTTCAAAATTATTTTTTGTCCAGATCATAACTCAAAAAGCCTTTGAGATATTAACATGAAACTTCATAGGTGCATAGATCTCACTCAGGAGGTGTGCAGTGAACAAGAATGATTTTTGAGTTATTGCCCTTTGTTATTTTTCATACTTAATTTTTCACCTGAGTGGAGCATAACTCAAAAGTGTTTGAGATGTCAACATGAAATGTCATAGGTGGATAGATCTTATTGAGGAGGAATGCTGTGCACAAGAATGATAACTCTTCCCTATAAAATATTTGAGTTATTGCCCTTTGTTCTTTTTCATACTATTTTGTCCGGAGCTTATCTCAAAAAGTATTTGAGGTATCAACTTGAAACTTCATAGGTGGATAGATTTTACTGAGGAGGGGTGCAGCACACAAGAATGATAACCTACCCTGCATTATTTTTTCAGTTATTGCCCTTTGTTATTTTCAGCCATCAGTATTCATATAGGTTTCAAATCTGTAATCACTTCAGCCATCAGTTTTCATTACCAAAAGACCTCTTAAAATTGAATTATCTGCTCTACTACATATACATTCTTCCAATGAGCAAACACATTCGGCGGGGGATGGCCATGTTGACATGGCTCTTGTTTAATCATTTAATGCCAGGTGAGTATTCACATAATTGGCAAGTCATTTTAAAATGCCAAGCCTGTTCGATGAAAGCGTTTATCCCTAAAAAATGAAACACAATGATTGGCATCTGGCACATATGTGTAAAGTGCGCAATTGATACATAACCTGAAACACAAGCTTTTCTTCTGATTTTCAATCGTTAGAAGTAAACAGACTGATTATGAGTATTCAGTGGTGGCGGACTCTATTACACAAAATGTATCCTTCAAATTTTATTTGAAAACCATGCAATATACTGTCCTGACAATATGCTAATTACTGGTAACATTAAGTCATTGATTTATACTTAATTTAAATTTGTCCCAAAATATTGAGTCACATAGATTTCTAAAGAGAGATTGTATTGATATTTTAGGTAAACTATAAATAGAGATGACAGATCAAGTAGGTCCTCAGAATGTAACAGATATGCTGGAGGAAGAAACAGAGGAAGAGAAACAATTCCAAGAACTACAGACTCATCATCTCTCTACAGGTAAATATACTTATGTCCTCTATTTATAGCTTTCCTACATCTATTTTTAGCGTTCCTTCATCTATTTTTAGCTTAACTTTAGGAAATAATATGAAGAGTGATCTTGCTCCTCACAGCATGTTTGTCCAGTTTTTGTGACATCAAATATATTTTCATTCACACCAATTACCTGACTGCATGTATTTCATGAAAATAAGAGGAATCAAGTCTGATGATTTTCTGTACAAGGTTACTGGTACAAACATATTATTTTGTTTTTATTGGTATATTATTTGATGATACATGAAGTTTTTTTTCAATTCAATAGCATGTGTAAATGGCTGGCCCTTAAAAAAAAATCCTGCTGCTGCATTAACCCATTATTGTGAGTGTATTTGAGTTTATTTATACTTGCGAGGGGTTGCCCATATAGGTAAGTCCGCCAGAAGAGTATTAGTCATTTTCGATTTTAGTAGGATAGTGCAAGCTACAGATACAGAAAGATGCCCCAATTCCAGAAGTTTCTCCTGGTCCTTTAGTGTGCCAAGTGTTTAAGATCTCATACTTAAAGTCTCATCCAAAGGATTGTTTAGTTGGCTAGCTTTGAAATCAAATCCACAATGTCATTATCACAAGTCTAGGGCTCTAACTAATTTGTTTGGTTGGTCCCAAGACCATACTTAAAATGCTTTGACCTAGGAACTTCAAACTCGTTATGGAGATTTGTCATGACCAGTAGATGAAACCTTTTGTTTTTGGGGTCACTAGGTCAATGGCACATTGACTTTTTATATCAAAATGGTTTTGAACCAATTACTTAGCAAAGCATGAGCCCTTCACAGTAACATTGGTCTTGGAAAGTAGATGCTCTTTGCTTTTGGGGTTCACATCAAAACGGTTTTTGACAATAACCCTTGGACCCTTTCCACTCAACCTTCACAGGTGTTTTGGTCTTGGCCAAGAGATGACTCCAATTTATTTTGGGGGTCAAATGTCAAGGCTACATTGACCTTTTATATCAAAATGGTTTCCAACATAAGGGCCCATGGCCTCTAAGCTTCACGGATGAATTGGGCTTTGCCAGGAGATGAACACTATGAATTATGGGGTCAAGAGGTTAAAGGTGAAAAACACATTAACCCTGTATGTTAAAAACGGTTTCCGTACAATAACCCGACAACCCAAGCGCTTTTGATTTTGGTGGTCATCCCTTTTATATCAAAACGGTTTTTGACAATAACCCTTGGACCCTTTCCACTCAACCTTCACAGGTGTTTTGGTCTTGGCCAAGAGATGACTCCAATTTATTTTGGGGGTCAAATGTCAAGGCTACATTGACCTTTTATATCAAAATGGTTTCCAACATAAGGGCCCATGGCCTCTAAGCTTCACGGATGAATTGGGCTTTGCCAGGAGATGAACACTATGAATTATGGGGTCAAGAGGTTAAAGGTGAAAAACACATTAACCCTGTATGTTAAAAACGGTTTCCGTACAATAACCCGACAACCCAAGCGCTTTTGATTTTGGTGGTCATCCCTTTTATATCAAAATGGTTTTTGACCAATAACCCTTGGACCCTTAGCACTCAACCTACACAGGTGCTTTGGTCTTGGCCAAGAGATGACTCCAATTATTTTGGGGGTCAAATGTCAAGGCTACATTGACCTTTTATATCAAAATGGTTTCCAACCAATAACTCACAACATAAGGGCCCATGGCCTCTAAGCTTCACGGATGAATTGGGCTTTGCCAGGAGATGAACACTATGAATTATGGGGTCAAGAGGTTAAAGGTGAAAAACACATTAACCCTGTATGTTAAAAACGGTTTCCGTACAATAACCCGACAACCCAAGCGCTTTTGATTTTGGTGGTCATCCCTTTTATATCAAAACGGTTTTTGACCAATAACTCAACAACCCTTGGGCCCTTCGCACTCAAATTTCACAGGTGCTTTGGTCTTAGACAGTAGATGATCCCTTTTAAATTTGGGAGCATTGGGCCAAAGGTCAATATCACATTTACTTTGTTTGTTAAAATGGTTTCCGGCTAATAACCTGACAACATAATTATAGGCCGTTGGCCCTCAAACTCCACAGATGCATTGGTCTTGGCCAGAAGATGACAAAGTTCTATTGCTTTTGAGGTCACACTGGGTCAAAAGTCAGGGCCAACTGACATTGTTTATCAAGATGCTTTCTAACCAATAACCTAACAGATGACTAATTGGTTGGTTTTGGGGGCATACATGTCTTTCCTGTGAATGTCTAAATGTCAACTATAATCTTCTTTTTATAGATTCTGTTGGACGGCAGATTGTCTTTTTGTTCATATTTAATTTTTGTTCTTGGCAAAACTTTAAGGCTCAGAACTCAATAACCATAACTCTATTATGCATAATTTTGAAGTTTTTGCCCTTTGATAAATTGTAACATTTTATACTTAATTTTGTATTAGAACATTTCTCAAAATCTATTAGAAGTATGAAGTTGAAAGTTCACAGGAAGATAGATCTTATTGAGGAGAAGCTAGATGCTCTTTTGCAAAACGTTGGAGTTATTGCCCTTTGTAGTTTTCATACTTTATGTCATTAGGATACGGCTGTGTCAGCTTGAAACTTCATTGATTGATAAATTGCTTAGAGTTAAGAACATTTATATTTCTTTCAGATAATATTGGTTAATCTGTTTTCCAAGAATTTGAATTCATATATGAGAGGCTTAGAGGAAAGGTTTTGCAATGTTTATCAATATCTGATTATCTTGTCTAACAAATTTATATAAAGAAAGTTCTGTGACTACACAGCCTTGTTTATTCATAATATTGAATACTTTACAGAAGAATTTGAAAAAATAAAATCACAGTTATTTACTTCTATAAAAATCAAACATCATATGTTAATGAATTTTCATTGTCAGTAAAGTGGACATTAAAAAAATAAAAGTATGCCATTGCAAAAATCTTGAAAGTATAAAACATCGCAATCTTTTCACTCCCATTTATTTCCTCTTTAAAAAATCATAAACATGTACAAAATTAATAATGATAATAATAATAAAGTGCATGTATGTACATGCATTATTACTATCAGGTGTTTATTCCCTCTCTAAAAATCATACATATAATCATTAAAAAAACAACAACAAATACCCCCACCCCCCTCCCCACCAATAAAGTACATGAAGGTATCATTATTATAAGAGCAACGAATGCGTACCATGTATACATGTTAGTTTGACAAAGTTTAATGAAATAATATACATTCATTGATCCTATGTTTATGTGGTTTTTTTTCTGGATTTCTTTTTTAGCATATATAATTTTAATGTACAATTCAACAGCTGGCTTTTATCTTATTAACTTGTGTTTTCATATATTCCACTGTTTTGATGTACATTGATATTAACTGACTATTGGCTGATAAAATGATAAATTAACACAATAGATGATTGTGCTTTTATATACACTGTATTCATCACTTGGTTGTTATTCTGAGTTTGTTAAGACAAGAGAAATAGTATGAAGAAAGTATTAAAGAAACTAAGGAGAGTAAAAGGTAGTGAATTTATTTTTAATGATATTATTATTTTTCTCTTTTTCTATTTTATAAGGCATTGTTAGTGGTATGCGCCACTCGGCAACTACAGATACTCTGGACTCTGTTTACCTTGACCCTCCTGTATCTGAACAAGATGTGGACTTCCGACTTTCAACAGAGGAACTCAATATCAATACAATGGCGGAAACAGCAGAAACGAGGCCGACAGGCGAAGAATTGGGTGCAAAGCCAGAACCTGTAGAAGCAATAGTAAAAAAACAAACATTTAATGAAGAGGGTAATGTAAATGAAACTGTAGAGAAAATTGTTGATCCAGATTTAGGGGCTTCACATGATGTTGAAGTTGGTACAAGTGAGGGACAGGAGTTGGTAAATAAGAAACTAGATTCACCTCCGTCACTGAGTAAATATTTTGGAAAAGAAACATATACTGATGACCCTTTTGCAACCAATGTATTTGATACCCTTGGTGGTACTCAGACTGAAAATTCAAATGATAGTGATTATTTACAGTTCGCAGCTGAGGCTGGAAAAGACATTAGTGATATTGGTGATGAGATGACAAATCTAACACAGGATGATTCAAAAGATTTGCTAGACGAAACTACAGATGATACACCAGAAGAAGAAAATACTAATAACAATCATAGAAAAAGTGAAGAGTTAAATGTAGATTTTGATTTAGCCATCGATAAAGATGAGTCTGTTGAAACTCCAGTGGACATTGAAGAAAAAGAAAACTTTGAGTCATTTACAGCTTATGCTGCTGATACAGAAGCTTTGGATGCTCTTGGAATGTCCCCAGCCAATCCATCTTTTATGACAGAAAAGAATATTACTGATTACTTCCGACAGACAAGTCAAACAGATAGCATACATTCACTAGGTATTGGTCGTCAAGTGTCGATCTCGAGTGGACACTCTTCAAGTCTGGGTCAAGGAGTTATCACAGAAAATTTGGAGGAAGGATCAGATAATGGTATTACTCAGCCAGGGTCTATTCCAGCACATGTTGAAATGACCGAATCTTCTCTCCCAACACCAGATATGACACCTAGCACAGTGATGAATAGTGAAGCAGAGGCGAAGGGATCAGTGGAAAATACACCAGTTCATCAACCTGTGTTTCCTCCTTCAACTACATTGTCACCAGTAGATAGCCCTTTACATCAACCATTATTTAATAAAGCATCAGGTAAACTTATTGATACAATTTCTTTCCCTTCGCCCTGAAAGCTTATGACAATTATTTCATGCTAATGCAAGTATGCTAGAGCCTGCAAGCCAGATATCTGTCATACGATTTTCCGCCCTTTAGCACCAATTCCTCAGTATTTAAACTTAAACTTGAAAAATAGATAAAACTGCGACAATGATCTCCCTTGGTTTAATCTGAAAATTAAAATTTTGAGTGGAAGACCTGTTGAAAACTTTATAATTGCTTGTTTTAGATAAAAATGTCTTGACTTCATTATTTCAATACAAATCTCAGAAAATAAAGAAATAATTATTATCTCCCTTTATGTGTCAAGGACTGTTTATTGGGATAATTATCACTTTTATTGATATTTCCAGTTTGGTATGTTTTCCGTATCTTTTCAATCTGTATTATGTCAATTTTATATAAAAAAAATGTGATATCATTATTAATTTTTTAGAATACTAAGACTTTCCTTTATTTGAACAGAGCAAGAGCCTTCTTCTACCAGCACGCCGACCAGCCCTGAACATCTTGTTACAGCGTTCCAGAATTGTTCTCACTCCAGTGATGATTTATTTTCTATCGGTCTACATATGAGTGATTCAGACAGGCAACATGATGCTTGGTTACCATCAGAAGCTACGAAGAATATTCTTATCTCCATGACAACCCATGCACCAGGAACATACTTCCCAGATAAAGAGCTACTCTGCTCACCATCGTTAGTTATTGTAGATGCACAGGTAACTGTTTAATCTATTTTTAGCTTCACAAAATGAGGAATGATGGAGCTATTGTCATGACTCACTCAAGCAGTGATGGTTAACCTTTTTAGTTAAGTTTAAGCTTTTGGGCATTAACTAGTGAAGTTAAAAAACTATTTTGATAGCTGTGAAATGTATCAAGATAAAACTTGGAATTCTTCAGTATCATGACAAGATGAAGTTGTTAAGACAACTGGCATAATTCTGAAAGCAATATTTTTTAACTAAGAATTTTTAACACACTAGCATAAACACTGCATGTGGAGCTCTTTTTTCTAATTTCATTGGGAACCATAGGGCATTTTTGGTTCATTTCCTTATTACATATACATAACTATGGATAAATTTCTCCTTCAGCGTCACAATGATATATTATATAATTATTTACAGGGTGACCCTGTTAGAGATTTGGTATACAGGTACATGGGTGAACAAGAGGCATTAAAAAGACAGGTCCTAACAGCCAACAAGGTTACCCAGGATGCTGAGGGATTAAAAGTTCTCATGGTACTGTGTGAAATTCTTTTATTGTAGTTAAATGTCAGAAAGAAAGACCATTGAATGTTGATTTTTTTTTTTGGGAGAACGTTGAAAGATATCAATGGAGTCGTAAATCCTCTTTACAGGTTGATAGGACTAAAATAAATGTAAGATATTGACTATGTTAGAACTAATGATCTGTCTTTACATAGTGTTTTCCAAAATGTTTTCAAAAATCACACTGAAAATACATATAATATTTTAGCTCACCTGAGCACATTTAAGCTTGCCTGAGCACAAACTCCTTTGAGGTGAGCTTTTGATATGACAATGTGTACTTGGTTGTCCACAATTTCTGTAAAGAACATCTCTTCCTAAACCACAAGGTTGAGCCCATTTCACAGGAATGGTCTTTATGAACTGTACAAAATTTATAAAAATTGTGCACTTACTTTCAAAATTTGCCCTATCCCAATGGTCATTAAGTTTATATTAACTTATACAGTAAAATACATTTAAGTCTTCTTGAGTGAAACTACAATTTTCAGAGCTCAGATATTTAGCATGTAGCATTTCCTTGTGAACCTCTGCAAAAATTTTGCAAATTATACCCTGGGGTAAAAAAATGACCACCCCACGGGGATCACTTAGTTTACATAGACTTGAATAGAAACATGTCTTAAAAATCTTTTCCTATGAAATAACTTTACCTAGAGTATTTGGCATGGGGTGATATAACTTTACTTAGAGTATTTGGCATGTGGCATCACCTTGTAAGGATGTAGTTGTTCACCATAACAAGCATATTGTTATATGTTAAGCTAGAGTCAGTCAATCTAGAATCTTGAATTTCCACAGACATATTGACCATTACCTAGAATCTGCCTTGTACATCTGAAAAAAAATGTGAATATTGATCGCTGTACTTAAATCATACAATATACAGACTAAAAAGCTCATGTTATAACTTGATTGGTTTCAGTCAAATGGTTGTTACAGATCAGCTGTAGATTTGACAGGAAAGTTATTGGCGGATATAGGGCAGGCAGAACCTGGGGACACACCTACAGTACATACACCAGATACACTACAGGTTACTCATATAATAACCTTGATTACATGCTTTTTGGTGATTTATAGAAATAATTATCAGTGACATATAAAACTGATAATTTCACTGTTTTGAATTTAAACCCATTACGTTGTTTCAGTGAAATACCAGCGTGCACAGTACTGGAAACCAACTTAATGATGTGATGTCGTAAATGACCTCACGTTGTATTATTATTTGGCATGCTTTTCACCCTTAATCTACTGAATTTCTTAAATGGACTTGTCCTCTTCCACTTTTTGGAACTGTCAGTTATCAATTTTGAAGTTATCATGATGAAAATTTGAAGTTGGGCAGCCAAATGTACAGAGCTGCTCAGACTGACCAACTTCACATAAATTTTCATCTTGATATCCCCAAAATTGATAATGGGCAGTTCCAAAAATGTAAGTGGACTAATCCACATAATTCAGCAGGTTAAGGGTTCAAATAGTTTCTAAGTTATTTCTCTGTAAAAAAAGTAATGTTAAACTGTTATATGTACCTTTGTATAGACAGTTGTAATACAACATAAAATTAACTTTGGTATGAGACTGCTACAAAAAGTTATCCAACCACATTCAGTAAAATACAGGTACAAGTAATGCTATTTTGTAATACTTGCAACAAATAGTTTTAACATTTCATTGAAAATCATGTCAATTTACATGTAACATTTCATTGAAAATCATGTAAATTTACATGTGCATGTGATTGAAAATCACATGAATTTGGTTCAAATTCATGTTGATTTACTAGAAATAATAATTTTTTACATGGACAATTTATTTGCTGTTTTCAGCTATGGTACTGTCGATTTAGTCTGATGATGAAATTGCGTATGTACAGTGTATTAGAGTCGGAATTTGTGGCATTTAAAAACCTCGATTCACCGGATATATATTATGAATTCTACCCACAGCAGTTCCCTGGAAAAAGAGGTACATGTATAACAAAACTTGTAGATAGTACTTCAGATATTATTGTTACAGTAGATGTTTAAAAGTTTACTTGATAGAATAACATGTTTGAGCTTGTTTTCAGAGAATAGTGGGGATAACCTACTCGCCCATGCATGTGTGTGACACTGTCACACACATGCAACATTTTGTACAATTTAATTTAAAGAACCACTGAAGTTATTCTGTAGAAACTTCACCCATAAATTAATATTTAAGATAAGAAGAAAAAAAATAAATTGATAACTTAAACTTTACCCATGTCTTTTGAATTATTAAGTTAATACCATTAAATATAAGACCCATAACTCTGGCATGTATTTAAATTAATTGAATTATGATCCTTTGCAAAGTAAGAAAGTTAAGTAAGAAAATTCCTAGTGTAATATTTGCAGTGAAGTATTCATTTGAAAAATGTCTTGGGTGATTATAATTGATTAGTACTTGTCAAAGACCTATAATTCTTGTTACATTCTTTAATTTTGTAGTCTCTATTTTCAAATTTGGACTTAATATGCTTAAGCATGAAATGAACATTTTCAACACATATGCTTAGATATTGACCTGGTGATCTAAATATTATCATTTAGTTTGGCTATGGTTCTTAGGTTAGTAAGTCAGGGCTATTATGGCCCTCTTGCAGTCTGACTAATGTTCTGATCTACTTATTTCTTTTATGTATATCTGATGATGACCATATAAGTTTCACCTTCTTTATAATTCAGATTTCCTGAAAAGCTATTTTTAGCCATGCAATCAAATCAGTTTTTAGCTCGACTTTTTTTTTTTTGAAAAAAAAAGTAGAGGTATTGTTATAGTCAGGTCGGCGTTGCCGTTGCCGTTCCCGTCCGCAAACTTGTACCTGGATCATAACTTTTTTATTTCTTGGTGTATTGTCTTCATACTTGGCCACAACAACCCTTGGGACTAGACCTTTCAGTAATCCACACTAACCTTGACCTTCATCCATAAATGACCTTGACCTTCAAGGTTAAAAGTCCAATTTTTGCTTGTTCATGCTGTTATTGGCTGTAACTTTGATATTTTTGAATGGATTGTCTTCAAACTTGAACATAATAATCTTTAAGGATATCCCTTAAAAATAACCAGCCAGACCTTGACCTTCACTCATAAATGACCTTGACTTTGAAGGTCAAATTATTGAAATTTTCATTTTTTTGGCTTTTATTGGCTGTAACTTTGTTATTTTTGAATGGATTGTCTTGAAACTTGAACATAATAATCTTCAAAGATTACTGTTAAAAATATACCGAAAGACCTTGACCTTCACTCATTAATGACATTGTCTTTGAAGGTCAAATTATTGAAATTTTCATTGTTTTGGCGGTAACTGACTGTAACTTTGCTATTATTGAAGGGATCAACTTCATATTATAAGAGAACATTCTTAAGGACCAGACCTTGTTGTTTATCAAACCCAAATTTGCTTGGGCTCTTTAATGACCTTGACCTTGAAGGTTAAATTACTGAATTTTCTCAGATTTGTGCATGAAATGACCATAATTATATATTTATTGGTGTGTGTGTGTGTGTGTCTATATATATATATATATATTTACAACAACAACAACAACTAGAATTGCGTCATTGTTTCTATTTATAGAATTGCGTCATTGTTTCTATTTATAGAATTGGGTCATTGTTTCTATTTATAGAATTGTGTCATTCTTTCTATTTATAGAAATTGCATCATTCTTTCTATTTTTAGAAATTGTGTCATTGTTTCTATTTCTAGAAATTGCGTCATTGTTGCTATTTTTAGAAATTGCGTCATTGTTTCTATTTTTAGAAATTGTGTCATTTTTTCTATTTTTAGAAATTGCGTCACTTTTTTATTTTTAGAAATTATGTCATTTTTTTGTATTTTTAGAAATTGTGTCATTTTTTCTATTTTTAGAAATTGCGTCATGTTGCTATTTTAAGAAATTGCGTACTGTTGCTATTTTTAGAAATATGCTTAATGTTTCTATTCATATATATACAAAATATATAAAGAAAACTAATGTGACAAGACAGACCAACTAAATTTATAAAAAGGAAACGTTAGTAAATGTTCAAACCTTTCTATGTTTGCGTTTAGAAAAAGTAAAAAGTCGAGCGTTGCCCCCGCCCGGCGGTGGCTCTTGTTTCTATTTTTAGAAATTACGTCATTTTTTCTATTTTTAGAAATTGCATCATTGTTGCTATTTTTAGAAATTGTGTCATTTTTTCTATTTTTAGCTCACCTGTCACAAAGTAACAGGGTGAGCTTTTGTGAACGCTTTTCGTCCGGCGTACGTCCGTCGTCCGTCCGTAAACTTTTGCTTTAAATGACATCTCCTCATAAACCACTGAGCCAATTTCATCCAAACTTCACAGGAATAATCCTTTGGTGGTCACCTTTAAAAATTGTTCAAAGAATTTAATTCCATGCAGAACTCTGGTTGCCATGGCAACCGAAAGAAAAATCTTTAAATATCTTCTTTTAAACAACCCTAAGAGCTAGAGCTTAGATATTTGGCATGAAACATCTTCTAATGAGTGTCTACCAAGTTTGTTCAAATAAAAGCCCTGGGGTCAAAATTGGCCCCGCCCCAGGGGGTCATTGATTTTCCCTAAATGCATATAGTAAAAACTTAAAAAATCTTCTTTTAAAGAACCCAAAGAGCTAGAGCTAAGATATTTGGCATGAAACAACTTCTAGTGAATGTCTACCAATTTTGTTCAAATCAAAGCCCTGGGGTCAAAATTGGCCCTGCCCCAGGGGGTCATATATACAGGTGAGCAACCTCAGGGCCATCATGGCCCTCTTGTTAGAAATTATTGCGTCATTTTTTCTATTTTTAGAAATTGCATCATTCTTGCTATTTTTAGAAATTGCATCATTTTTTCTATTTTTAGAAATTGCTTCATTGTTACTATTTTTAGAAATTGCGTCCTTGCTATTTTTAGAAATTGCGTCATTTTTTTCTATTTTTAGAAATTGCATCATTTTTTCTATTTTTAGAAATTGCGTCATTGTTGCTATTTTTAGAAATTGCGTCATTGTTTCTATTTATAGAAATTGCGTCATTGTTGCTATTTTTAGAAATTGCGTCATTGTAGCTATTTTTAGAAATTGCGTCATTTTTTCTATTATTAGAAATTGCGTCATTGTTGCTATTTTTAGAAATTGCATAATTTTTGCTATTTTTAGAAATTGCGTCATTGTTGCTATTTTTAGAAATTGCGTCATTGTAGCTATTTTTAGAAATTGCGTCATTTTTTCTATTTTTAGAAATTGCGTCATTGTTGCTATTTTTAGAAATTGCATCATTGATGCTTTTTTTAGAAATTGCGTCATTGTTGCTATTTTTAGAAATTTTGTCATGTTGCTATTTTAAGAAATTGCGTCATGTTGCTATTTTAAGAAATTGCGTAATGTTGCTAATTTAGAAATTTGCTTAATGTTTCTATTCATATATATATACAAAATATTTAAACAAAACTTATGTGACAAGACAGACCAACTAAATTTATAAAAAGGCAACATTAAGATATGTTCAAACCTTTCTATGTTTGCGTTAAGAAAAAGTAAAAAGTCGAGCGTTGCCCCCGCCCGGCAGTGGCTCTTGTTACATAGGCATTAGAAGAAGTATCAAAATACAGTTATCCATGGAAGTTAAACAAATTGTTGACTTTTGTTAGAAAAAAAAATGTTTGAAGAATAACTTGAAATAATACAGAAAATTTTTAATGGGCAAGATTGTTTTGCCAGTTAACCTGTCATATAGACAACGCCATGTTTGTTCATGAAATCATGAAAATTACCTACTCAGTATTGGATTTCCCAGGGTTAAAATTAGAAACAACTTTGCTTTCAAAATTATGAAATCTCGTCTATGATTGGCTGTGTGAAAGTTCACCAGAAATGACCTTGTGGTCAGATCTAAAAGTGGAGCATTATTTAGAGCTGGTTTAAATCAGATTGGGCCGTCTTAGTTTTCTTCAATTTTTGTGAGGTAGACTTTGTGTTGAAGTGTTGTTCCCTCTAAAAGAATCAAAATATAAAACTAAAAAATCTAAATATACGTTAAACTCTTAGAAAAAGTTTTTTTGTAAAACCTATTCACTTATTATGGCTGTACATTTTGAAAAACTTTAATCAATGGATAAATATATTATGATAAATAAAAACTAAAAATGGAAGTTTTGGTGTTATGTTTCAAGGTAAATTCAGACAATAATTTCAATTATCGTTTGCTTTATTACTTTTACAGGATCTATGGTATCTTTTGGTATGAGACTTCTTCATGCAGAGTTACCCCACCACCTTGGCAGATCACAAGAAACGCTGGATAGATTTTACTATTTGATGGCAATTACTAAAAAGGTACCACTGAAAAACAAAATTTCCCATTTCACATTGTACTTTGTACATTGTAGTTTTGTAAGGTTAAACAGTGTAGACTCTAGGGAATAGTTGATATTTCTCTGTTCAACTTTATCACAAGTGTCTGTGAGTCTCCATATTTTAACCTTAAGGCAGAACTTTCATTTATCACAGTCTTCATTATGATGAACTATAAAAGTGCCTTTATTGTTGTCAAGTTTATTTAATGAATCTGTTAAGCATGCCTGAAACTTGTAAAGACACCAGTGAGCCTACTGGTGCCTAAAAACTTAATCCTTAACATGTAGGAGCTGAAAGTGATCAGCCTTTGCCACCAGTATAGAGTCAGGCCAGCCTGTACATCTGTGCAGTCTAACCAGGCTCTGTACTGTTGGTAGATATTGAAATCCCTTAAATACTTGAATGAACTGCATCAAATTCAAATTTGGGTAAATCTGTTACAAAATTCAGCTGGTTATGGGTTAATATTAACAGGAACATTTGGTGTCATACTGCATTTTACATGTATATCCACTACCTTGCAAACTGTTGTCTACACATATCTTGACACTTATATTTCAGGAATATAATTATTTATTATTTATCTTCAGATTATAAAGAACTTAGAAGAGGGTTTGGCTGAAGATGGAAGTGCTGTTACAATAAGCTCAGATAGTAGGAAAGGTATGTGTATTCTTATATAAAAGTGTGAAGATTTGTTAGTATAAGTTTAACAAGACAACAAACAAATCAAAAGACTTACATGTAACAAAAATTGTCTTTTATTAAAAATGAATCTTTTCAAGTTGCCAGTGTTTTTGAAGCACATTCTTATGCACATTTTCTAAATAAAGTATATTACCATTATATGTAACTTTTATATAAGAATAATAATCTCTTATAACCCTCACTGCAATAAATATCTTTAAATGGACTCACCAATATTTCAATTTGGACGAAACCACTCACGATTTTGAGGGAAAATTTTAAAATTATGTTCAGACTGAATAGCTAACAGTGCAGACAATGACACAGATGTGCCGGCTGATTTTGATCTGCAATGGTCGCATAGGTACAAGCAGGCTTAGAGTTAATATTATTAAAAAAAAAAACACACACATTAAAAAATAACAAACAAATACCATATAGCAGTGTGATCTGATGAAATTGTGCTTTCTTTCTATTTTAAGAAAGAAAAAGGTTATCAAATACAAAGATCAATCTTGAAATAATGCATATGAGATCTTTGTCCACCAGTAAAGCAGGAAAGTTGCCATATGACCTTTACAGATTAAAACCCAACCATCCAAAAAGACTTTCGATTTATATTTCTAAAAGGAATTCATGCAAGCCATATTTTTTCAGCATCACAAGAACTATGGGAGACGAGAGAAAAGAGGATCCTCTATTTGATAGCAAATGTTTTAATTTCATTAAGAGTAAGTTAATTTTCACTGTTTCTTTTTAGTTCACATGTACCGGAGGTTTCAGTTGAATTGTAAGAATAGAGGCAGATGGCTAGCATCTTTTGTCTGTTATGATCATCATCTCTACTGAAATTTTTCAGATTCGTTTCAATTTTGTCCATGTGACTTGTTCCCTAGATCTGCTCATATATTTATGGCCATTGAGAAATTGGTAATTACTTGTTAGTTATCCAGGAAATCTGGATAGGTTGACCTTAAAATGCTTTGAAGTTGGCATAAATGCAGATCTGATTTTTTTCCAGGATTATGATGCAGCACTTAGTTTGTACGAGACTTTACTGGAAAAAGACAGGCTTCATAAAACAGCACTGCTTAGTGGACTTGGTAGAATTCATCTTCAGGTACTGGACTATTCTCCACGCTGTTGCTTTACTAGAGAATACTTAGATAGAATCAGCACATAAAATTCTTGGCATGAATTTAGTATATCTTGTTACCAGAGTAAAGTAAAGTGCTGTGCATGTTTGTGTTACCATTACAAAAATTCGGTCTATACAATTCAAGTAATACAACAGTCACACAGTCACAGATATACACCGTATATTTTATTTCCTTATCTTAATGTGTATGCTTATGTATGAAACAGATGTTACAATAATAACCATTTTTGTGTGAATAAATAAATAATTTATTTTAAACACACTTCAGGTTTCTCAAAACTGAATTTCAATGAAAAGAAGACAAAATATGTTTGACTTGTATTTCATTGAAGAGTTGAGTGAAACTGTAAACCTGCTGGGACCCAAAGTGATCAGCCTTTGCCATCAGTATATAGTCAGGCCAGCCTGTATTACCATGCAGTCTAACTAGGCTCTTTACTGATGGTAGCTCAATTTTGAAATTGAAATCAAATTTTTCATTGACTGTGTAAAGGTCAAAGCATGGCAAATCCATTGAAGTCCATTCAATCCGAATAAAATTTAACAATAAACAGCTCAGAATGTAAACAAGTGATATGGACTGAGTTTAGAAAATATTTAAAAAGGATTACAAGATATGTAATCATGATTTTGTTTTTGAAAAGACATGTATGTTAATTTCTGTGGATGGTTCAGTATACTCATCCATAGTTTTATCAACTTATTATTTAGTTAATAATATATGTACATGTATATATAACTTTCAACATTTTAGATTGGTAACATGAGTAGGGCAGCAGAATATTTCTTGCAAGTACAGTCTGTCAGTGACGCTAGCAATAACGTTATGAATGCAACACTTCATATGAACAAGTAAGTTATGTTATTTATTACACTATATCTTGTTGTGGGGCATCCATGTCTCAAGAAGTCAAATCTGTGTGTTTAAATCCAGTCAGAGACTTCTATCCATGCTTAATAAAACTGCAATCTGTCCTCCATCAGTAAAGCTGGAAAGTCACTGTAAACCTTTACATGGTTTATGTGATATAAAACTACAAAGGAAAAGATAAAAAGTACATGTATATACATATATATGTATCTTTATATATTGTACACCCCACAAAACATAATTTCATGCATTTTATTTAGGACTTGCTTGATCTCATTTTGATTGTAATACTCGGGGAGTTTATACAGGAGAGAGCTTGTTGGTCTGTTGTATTGTTTCTGGATAGTAACTAAAGTTAGGACATGGTAGAAAGCAAGCTTAAGTGGGGATATGAATCATTTTTAATGATAACACTAGTTTTTCTTCGATATCTTTGAAACTAGTACAAGTATTTGAAACTTAAAATATAGATGAAAGGTCACAAGACTACTCTTTAGTCCAAGATAGATAATTGCATTGCATTGTTCAGTTTCAATTCTATATTTAAGGAGCTTATTCAATTTACAGTGACACCTCTTGTTATGAAGTTATTTTAGAATACACAAATTTATGGGGTTTCATTCAATTTGTCTATTTAGTTACTGTAAGATGCAAATAGTTTAAATCTTAATTTTTGATAATATAATGAACAAAATTTTTTTGATAATGTAATGAACAAAAATTGAATCTTAAAATCTTTGATTAAAATGTGTATACACTTTCAGTAAACACACACTTGTAGTAGAAAAAAGAAAAACTGTGTAAAACTAATTATTAAGGTGGTAGCCATTGATTCATGAAGTAAAATATTTTACAATGATTTCACTATCTTATTGTAGAGGATTTGAAGCGATGTGTCAAAATAACTTCAATGAAGCATACCAAAACTTTAGAAAAGCTGTGGAAGCAGATCCCTCAAACACTTCAGTAAGTAGGATCTATATTTCCTGAAATCACCAATTTCTTTTGAAACAAAAGGTACATTTTTCTGATAAACCGTCAATATACCAAGGCATTTCATTACTCCATTTTATCTTAGTACCTTAGTTTACTAATGGCCAAAAAGACAAAAAAAAGCAAAAACTGGATCAGTTATATGGCTAATGAGTGCTATTTTGGAAGCTTTAACAGGATAGTAAAAAAAATAATTTTTTGATAAATAAAATGGGCCTTTAAAAAATTCATTTTACTGTACAAGTAAGGGTAGATTTCAAAACATGTACAAGTGAATACTTAAAACTTATAGTGTGTGTGGTACTTATGACTTAGTGTGTGTGGTACTTATGACTATCAAAATAATCATATCAATTTCAGGCTGTGAACAATATGGCAGTCTGTTGTTTGTATCTTGGTCGACTGAGTGATGCCCTCAAGTCACTGGAGGCTTTGGTACATAGTAATCCAGATAAAAACTTGCACGAGGGAATTTTATTTAACCTGTGTACATTATATGAACTGGAATCATCGAGAGCTTTACACAAGAAGCAAGCTCTACTGGACCTTGTTAGTAAACATAAAGGTGATGGATTTCCAGTGGTGTGCTTAAAAATGTCATGAAGGAAACACGTGATTTGTAGGTTTTGGGACCAAAAATGACAAAAGTATATTCATTTCAAGACTTTCAGTATGTCAAACTGTGCACTTATTAGCAGAATGTTTAATAGATACCAATAATAGTTGGAAAGTGAAATACTGGGAAAATAAATTAACATATGTGAATATATTAGTCATTTCTTAACATGACTTAGTATTTATTTAATTTTTAGTAACTATCTAATTATATACATGAAATTTCAAATATCAAGGGATTTCTTTGATCCAGGAAAACCATCTTTTGTTGAACTTGTCAGCAGTGATCAAATTGTCCATTGTAGCCTGAAATATGAAAAATAACTAAATTCCAAAACTCATAAACTTACTTGATATTAAAGCTTCCTTATTAAGAACAGTTACTTTTCAATGTAGATTTTGGTAAAAAGATAATGTTTATATGTTGTTATTATAATATATTGATGTTGTAGATACAGTTTATAAATTATATGTGCAATATGTTAACTGTACAATTCTTCTGATTATTGTTGTCAACTTAAATTTCATTAAAATAAGATGCGAAAATATAAAAGTATGTGTAACAAGTGTTAATATTTCTGCTTGAAATAGAAATCAATGAAATAATATTCATGATTTACCAAAAATGGATAAAGTCAGTCACTAGAAATGAACCGTGTGGCCGAGTGGTAAACACAAACCAATAATCTTAGTATTGCTGGCCTGGTGGGTTCAAATCCTTAAAGGGGCAAGCTGTTGTTTCCTTATTTCAAGACATCCTAGTGATTTTTTGGAAATTCTGACGCAAACACTAAGTGGTATTAATGAAACACCTGGAGCGTTTTTAAGAGTGGGGATATATGCCATTCTCCCGGCTCCTACTTACATATTTTAATCAAATGATGCTCAATAATTGTCTTAATAAATGATCTCCACAGCAAAATCTTTTCAGAGAATTTCAATGATACTAGACTTTGTAAATATCTTGGTTCATATAGATTAAGATTTCAAGTCCGGAATTTAGACTTTTAAGTATCATAAAAAGTTAAGTGTTTATACATCAAAATCAAAAGAGTATCATCAATTTACAACAATAATGAACATACATGTAGGTGCTGATCCTGGTATCTATCAATATGAACAGTAGGGAATAAAATCTAGTTATATTTTTTAAGTGAGCTTTATACCTTAACATCCTGATTTGAATCTGTTTTATTATCCGCAAAGTCAGTCTCGTCTTCAAACATGTCACGGTTTATATACTGGAAAAAAAATTTTATAATAGTAATTTTTAGAAATCAAAATTTCATATTTAGAACAGACCTACAGTGTGTGTGTATTGTTTGTTTACCCTCGGCCCTTGAATGAACCATATGGGCAAGCATATATTTTATTTATAACTGTCTTTATTTAAAAAGGAGCTTAGTTTATCTGTTCATATTATAAGAATGTTACATTGGATCCTGGTACAGACCAGAATATCTAGCTCGAGGGTAACTGTTTACAGTGGTAACAAGGCTCTGCCGAGATTCCACTAAACAGTTACCACAGAGCTAGATGTTCCCTTCTGTATCGACACCCAGTGTTTGATTCTTTTTCTTGCATATTACATGTTAATTATTTTCGAAACAGAAATTACGAAAACTGATATTCTCATTATGCACTTTTTTCTTATAGTAGCGTATGAACTTACAACTTCATTCATAACGGTAAAATGATGTCATCCTAAGAACGCAATTCATTCATAAAAGGTGCGTGGCAATGACATCATTTAAAGGACATGAACTTGTCTTACATGAGGGGTCTAAGACAAGAGTTTTCTGAAAGACTGGCCGGTTCTATACTGGTGCTTAAGGCTATTAATCGCTTACGTTTCCGAAAGGTTAAGGGTTAAATATTTCATTTTTTAAAAAAAACAAACAATTTACCTGCGTAACTATCTCCATAACCTTTTCTTCAACATTTAAATCTTCAATTTTAGAATTCATCTGAAAGAATGAAAACAACTGTCATTAATAAAGTAAACAAAGCAGGCCATAGACACCAAGTCACATACATGTACCTTAGGACAGAATGGTTTTCGTATAAAATACTGTAAGCAAATAGAAGTGTTTATAACAAGAATTTGAGCAATGTTCCTGTGAATAAAATTAGATGACCTTGACCTTTTTCTGACTGGCCTCAAGTTCAATAAGGGTGATCTGTACTAGTCAAGATCAACCATCAGAAACCAACTCTAACGACTTAAGGTCTTACAAGCTTTAACGTGTCAAGGCCATGGTGACCTTGACATTTGAGCGACCAACATCAAAACAAGGCAGTCTTTAATTTACAACCAACCTTCACACCAATTCTTGAGGACTATAGGCTTAATCATAATACGCTCTACAAATATGACACTAAGCAAAGCAATAAATTCCTATTTCTTTCACCAGGTGGTATTTTACTTTACTTTTGTGAAAGTTTTGTTGACATATTTTTAGAAATGTATCACAGGGTGAGAAAAATGTGCAGCCTGACCAGGACTCCACCCGGGACCCTCGGAATATCGTACCGCGGCTCTACCGACTGAGCTATCCAGCCGCTAACACATCTTCTCCCCTAAATAGTGAACAGTTCTGAACCATGACAAATGTATGAGAAGTTGAGCACAGAAGAAAGCTTTTATGTCAGCAAAAAAGCCACCTATTTATGTTCATCAGTTTTAAAAATCAGTATTTTCTTTCAGAAAATCTGGTTAAAAAATATTTATAACATGTATATATTTTTCTACTTAATGATGATGGCAAAATAAACTGGTAAACTTACTTCGGCAACAAGTTGTACGTTCTTGTCCTTTATAAATGACCCCACAGTACCTTGTACACATGACAGTATTAATCTAAAATAAAATACATACATCTTTATAGTTGTATGATATTTGAGGGAAACTATTTCCTATTCTAAATGATATAACATTAACGTTTCCACATTTAAAAATTCAATTATGAACAAAATGTTGTCTATATAAACCAGGCCCCTGTACCAGTCTAATTACATGGTCTATTGTTCGATTAATATTTGGTCATGCCCATGATTTCAAAGGTAAATATCTTTTTCCTGTTGATATTCTATATCTTAAATTTTATGTAGTCCATGTTACTGTCAACATTACTGCACATCCAGCAATATCAAAATTATATCCATTTAAGACATAATTTATTTTAAAGGGAATTCATTGAGGGGTTTTTTTTGACATGACTGCTCTAAAAAGTTTTACTTTTTTTAATACCATTTGATGATGGTTTATACATATAACTTTTGTGTATAAAATCCAAACATTGGCTCCACTGTTTATCCAAAATTATTTTTATTGTGTAAAAATAACTAAAAAGTGAATTGCATAAACCCTTTTTCACTCAATTAGTCCAAGATTTACATTAAATATTGATTTTAATTTATTTCTGAGTATATTTCTTTATAACAATGCCCTGGATGATCTACGATTTTAAAATTTGTTTTTAGGCTTTCAAACCTCAATGGAGCTCCTTTCAACATTTTGCCTGTAATTGTAAATAATAATGTAATGAGAAGTAAAGCATACCTTACTCTGATATAACATGTCAGTAACATCAAATCAATGGGGTATTCTGTTATACTACGTCTCAAACTTGCTATATCAATATGATTTGTCACATTTTCTTTAGCCTCTTGTAAACTTGCTACAGAGGTTTCACCACTGTCATCTTTGGACTCTTTCAAATTATCATGGGGTCCAATCAAATCTACTCTTGTATCTTGTGTATTAGACTGTTTTAAACTATCATAACTTGTACATACATGGTTCTCTTCACATCTTTTAGCATTCATTGCACATTTTTCACAAGACAGTTCTTTGCTGTTCTTTGTAATTTCTTCATTTTCATTATCCTTTGACACATTAGCAAACTTTTTTGTTTCATCATTGGTATCATTCTTGCTATTGTCTTCCTGCAGCTTCAAACTCTGACTAATTTTCTCATATACATGTACAAGTTTCAGCCAAATCTGTGCATTAACTGGATGTAAAGTAATTAACTTCTGCAGAACACCCAGTTCATCTACATGGAAAAACAATATATTACAACTTTATACAAATCTTATTATACAAATTTAATATCACAAATGATCTTGTTTTTGGTGTATTAAATAGAGGATATTGAATGAGTGTAGGTTCAGTACTGAATTTATTGAAGGGTTAATAAAATTATATTATGTGAGCCTCTTAATATTTGTTTATTAGCATTTGGCCTGATCAAAGTTTGACAGTAATTTAAAGCTAATTTTTATATAAAACTATGTCCATATGTTTCACCATCACTTTGTTATTTGAGTATTAAGTTAGCTGCATTTGAAGGGCAAGTAGAAACTTACTTAATATGTCCCTAGAGTTATTGTACAATTGTTGTTGCAACAGAAAGGTCTGGCAGTAATTTTCTGGAGTAAGGCAATCTATGAACTGAAAAAAAGAAAGAAAGGTTTGTGACTTCTTGAAAATTTCATCATTTAAAGTCGGCTTTTTTTTACTTTATATGAAACAAATAAGTAGTGCCTCAATGCGATAAAACCAGGTTTTCAAAAACCAAGTTTAGATGAGACAGGAATCAATAGGTCAAAGTGCACTGAAGTTATTGAATAGAAGCTGAAAATTCTATTGTAAGCAAATGACCTTGGCCTTGCTTGCAGATATCTAAGTGGCAATTCCAAACACAGTAAGTTTTTTGTCAAAAGGTCAAAGCAAACTCAAGCTTTTGAGGGGAAACCAAAAGATGACTCCCATCAAAACTTTCGTTGAAAACCTGATTAAAAAGCCTCTCCATTCCAGATTCTGTATCTTCTGCTACATGGATATTGGAGACAATGTGACATTTTTCATCCTTATCCCCATTCCTTAATATATACATGTATACATAACTGACATGATCCATGTCAAACAAATACATTGTATCTAGTATTCAAACAATAATCCATCCACCTAACTTGCAGTGCAATACAAGAGCCATGTCAACATGGCCATCCCCCGCCGAATGTGTTTGCTCATTGGAAGAATGTATATGTAGTAGAGCGGAATAATTCCATTTTAAGAGGTCTTTTGTAATGTAAACTGATGGATATAGTGATTACAGATTTGAAACCTATGTGAATACTGATGGCTGAAAATAACAAAGGGCAATTACTGAAAAATAATGCAGGGTAGGCTTTCATTCTTGTGTGCTGCATCCCTCCTCAGTAAAATCTATCCACCTATGAAGTTTCAAGTTGATACATCAAATACTTTTTGAGAAAAAAATTGAATTGAAAAATTAAGTATGAAAAAGAACAAAGGGCAATAACACAACAATTATAAAAGGTAGAGTTATCATTCTTGTGCAGTGCACACCTCCTGAGTGAGATCTATGCACCTATGAAGTTTCATTTTGATATCTCAAACGCTTTTTGAGTTATGCTCTGGACAAAAATTAATTTTGAAAAATAACAAAGGGCAATAACTCAAAAATAATGCAGGGTAGAGTTATCATTCTTAAGCACTGCACTCCTCCTCAATGAGATCCATCCATCTTTGAAGTTTCAAGTTGATACCTCAAATACTTTTTCAGATAAGCTCTGGACAAAATAGCATGAAAAAAAACAAAGGGCAATAACTCAAAAATTGTATAGGGAAGAGTTATCATTCTTGCGCACAACATTCCTCCTCAATAAGATCTATCCACCTATGACATTTCATGTTGATATCTCGAACACTTTTTGAGTTATGCTCAACTCAGGTGAAAAATTAGGTATGAAAAATAACAAAGGGCAATAACTCAAAAATTATGAAAGGTATAGTTATCATTCTTGTGCACTGCACTCCTCCTCAATGAGATCCATCCACCTATGAAGTTTCAAGTTGATACCTCAAATACTTTTTGAGATAAAGTCTGGACAAAATAGAATGAAAAATAACAAAGGGCAATAACTCAAAAATTATGCAGGGTAGAGTTATCATTCTTGTGCACTGCACTCCTCCTCAATGAGATCCATCCACCTATGAAGTTTCAAGTTGATACCTCAAATACTTTTTCAGATAAGCTCTGGACAAAATAGCATGAAAAAAAAAAAGGGCAATAACTCAAAAATTTTATAGGGAAGAGTTATCATTCTTGCGCACAACATTCCTCCTCAATAAGATCTATCCACCTATGACATTTCATGTTGATATCTCAAACACTTTTTGAGTTAAGCTCCACTCAGGTGAAAAATTAGGTATGAAAAATAACAAAGGGCAATAACTCAAAAATTATGAAAGGTAGAGTTATCATTCTTGTGCACTGCACACCTCCTGAGTGAGATCTATGCACCTATGAAGTTTCATGTTAATATCTCATAGGCTTTTGGAGTTATGCTCTGGACAAAAATCAATTTTGAAAAATAACAAAGGGCAATAACTCAAAAATCATGCAAGGTAGAGTTATCATTCTTGTGCACTGCACTCCTCCTCAATGAGGTCTATCCACCTATGAAGTTTCAAGTTGATAACTCAAATACTTTTAGAGATATGCTCCGGACAAAAATGTCGGACGGACGGAAGGACGGACGGAAGGTCGGACGGACGGAGACTATTTCTATATCCTCAGCTGAAATTTTTCGGCGGGGGATAATAATAAACCTGCCCCCAGAGTCTAAACTGACCCCATCCTGGGGATCATACAGCATGGAAATCCTATTAAAATCTTAGTCTCAGCATTTTCAAGCGTAGACATTTAGAATGTAGCATTGCCTAGTGTACTTTCTTATAAATCATGCTCCTATGACCCCACAGCCTTGTACATAACCCCACAGTCTTGCCCGTCCTTTAAATGATGTCAAATTTAAATTTTAAATACATATACTTACCACATTTTCAACATATTTCTGAGATGCCTGAAACTCTCCAGTTTTCATATGAGATCTGGCCAATGATTCCATCAGCTCTCGTCGCATTGTACGATTATGTTCACCTAGTCTATCTGTAATGTCATACATTATTATGTCATATCATTAAATTTTTAAAAAAGAATTCTATATGTGACTATGTAAAAATTTTTGACCCCGGGGGTTTGGGACTTTTTTTTGCCCCCTTTGGGGATTGAAATTTTGCAAAAAATTTGGGTTGATTAGAAATTTAAATTAAAAAGATCCCTGCAAACCCAAAATATGCTTTCGAAATTTTTTTTTAAAAGGTTACAATTACACTTTTAAAATCTATCGTAAGCTTCTGTGATTCATGAATGCAATGGGCCAGAACCATTTGAACAACTTCAAATAGTACTCCGGTACAAATTATGAAATCTAAGGTAAGTTCAATCAAATTTAGGCAAGTGGTTACAAGGATTTATTATGTCATATGAAACAAATGTAGATGATGGATGGACGGAAGCCAGCTAATAATCTTAAAAAGCTTACCATGAGCACCTTGTGCTCAGATGTGCTAAAAAGTAACAAATCAAATATCTTTATTATTCTCAGGTGAGCTAAAAGCTAACAAAATGATGTATTTTTATAATACATGCATGAATTTTTTTTTACCTAGACTGTTTTTGTAACAATGGATTGCAGACTTGTGATTCTCCCTCTGAAAATGGTAATCTCCTCTAAACTTGTACACTGTTGCCATATCATTTCTCCCATTGTCCGCACGATCAGAAAAGAACCACTGTAAAAATAACATTATAATACTACTACTAGTATATTAAAACACCAATATTTGTTGCAGTAATAATAATGAATTGAAAGATATACAATATATGCCATACCCTGCATGGCTTTAAAGATACAGTTCAGTTATATTTCATTAGAACTGCCAGATTCCGCCAGATGACACTTTGTTAACAGGGTATCATGAAGCAATAAGAGCTGTCCAAAAAGCAGCACACTTCACTTTTAACAGTCATTAGCATTCTGAACTGCACATTTTCAAATTTTGTAAATTAAATTTCAAAATGACCTTGACCTTTTGACCTAAAATGAGTATGGAGGGTAGGACTCATCAAGGTGCATATTCATACAATGTTTGAAGTTTCTATGTCAATTACAAGTCCAAGTGACCTTGACTTTTGGCCTGAAAATGGATTGACAGGTTGAGTTCATCAAGGTGCTTTCTTAGAGAAAATTTGCAAAGAAAAAATTTAAATCTTACAATTTTGGAAGTAACTGCTGAATATACCAAATTAAAACATATGCAAAAGTGTTTTGGCGACATGGCCAAATGGTAGATTTTAATGATTTAAGTGGTCTAATAAATTAATGTTTTATTTTGGCATGTTATTGTATATATTTTTACACTATTTTTTAATGTTCATTTACTAAACTTATAACTAACAACAATTTAGCATTTGAACATCATAGAATTGCAAAACAGCATAACTTTCTGGAACAACTGCAATGATGCAAAAATAATTGCCTTCTTCAAAACACATATTTGGCATGCTTGATTTTTTCAAGAGAAAAAAGAAATGTGTTTCTTTTGTTCAAATCTCATCAACAAATTTACTTTCAGACTAGAATTACTAATTCTGTTTGAAATTCTATCACGGGCTCCGAGTCTAATACATGTACATGTTATTCTGAGAACTCAACAAAAGTGGGTTTTTCCCAGGCTACAAACAATTTACATATTCTTTTACCAATATACAAGATATAGCTTATTATGGTCCTGCCTGATGGTGATCAATGTGTTAATGCTAATAATTATCGATGTATTTACTCAAATTAAACTGTAAATATCTTATTTGGAACCCCTGGATTTGCAGTGAAAACACAAAATATTCTTAATACCAGGTGCAAGTCTATTGTTTTATATGAATACCTCAGGATGGCACACTTTAGCATTGTAAGATGTAAGAGTTTCAGTCTGTCTGACTTTCTCTGTAAAATCACCATCATCAAATTCAAGACCAAGTTCCATAACTGTCTGAAAGTAAACTATGAAATAATAGATTAAAAAATCATACAATAACAATTATAATTAGATATTACATTGAGATCTAGTCTATGTTATCAGACATGTAAAAGAGACATCATGGTAATTTTGGATAGGTCAATGTTGACAGTCAGGGGTGGGGGGAGGGGATGATGGCCAAACCTATTCATGCAAAATTAATAAAAATTGGATTATTGCCCATTATTGGCTTATTAATCTAGTTGCGTGGTGAGATTATATTAAGTGTGACCAACCATCAAGTATATTTACTCATAAATAAATATACTATCATATCTTTGATGACTGTACAAACATATATACATACTTGTAAAGCAATATACATGTAGGTAAAGTACATCAAATCTAGTCATTTTTATAAATAAACTATTCATGACTATCTTTGCAAAAATTAAGTAAAGTCACTAAATGAGCGTACTATATCAAACAAAATATATTCCCAAATACCATATATGAATAAAAAATCCTTAAGCAAATTACTTTTCCGAAAAAAATATAGAGAATAGTATAATGCGGACCGAACCACATCAAGGTCATTAACTCGGTAAAGCGGGGCGAATCGTTATGGGGCGAATCGTCAGTAGGGCGAATCAATATAGTTTCTTGCAGTGATGAAACGGTCTTGTAAGACACTGTCAAACGCTGCCTTCGGGACTTTATTCCTTGTTTCCATATGTTTATTGTTTTACATATTAGGTTTTCTTCCATTCAAACCTACCTGGGACGTAGAGCAGGTAAAGTATTGTTGTGTTTTAATATTTCAAAATGTTTGCTTTCTTGTTGTTGTTGTTATTGTTTAGCTAGTACTGAATAGTTAACATACTAAACTTGATAATGTATGAACCCAGCATAGACATATACAATTAAATATTTATTAATATAATAGTAAATTGGGCGAAAATGTATAATATTAAGTTATGAAATTTGCATATTGTACAATTATAATTTATTATTATCATAAATGTATGAGCTAGGTCTACATACATTTGCATCTATTAATTCTAACATTATTTCATTTATAAATCATAATATTGGTTAGATAAATTTAAGACATTAGATTCACATAATATACATAGTCTTCATCTTACGGCTTTCCAATCTTGCATTTAAAATTCCTTTTGTGATTAATATAAAATTTATTAAGTATTGGGTCAACCATAGGCCTTCATGTATCTTTAAGTTGAACCAGTAATACTAATAATAAATACATTGTATTACCTGTTGATTTAATTGTGAACTAAAATCTGTGATATTAATTTATTATCCTCAGCATTGGAAACGGAGGACAAACGTGTATTTTGCTGTTGATTATCAAGAGAAGATAATTTTTATTGTAATTTTACCATTATTGACAAGACATCTACATGTATGTTAATTTCAAATTCATATTTTATAATTCTTGTTGTATATTGTAATTACCTGTTTTTATTAAAGGTGAAAGAAACAGTTTTGCCCACTATTCCAGAATTGAAACAGTTGTCTCATAGAGAGCTTGCTCAGCTATATCATAGGTTTGTATTAAATTTCAATTTCTTTATCACCAAGAACTGATCTTGAAAATAAAAATTAAGGAAGGAGCTAATTATAGGAATCACTTTGTCCATGTCCTACAGTTGTCATTATAAATTTCTTAAATTGACTAGTTCATCTTCCAGTTTGGAACTGTCCATTAAAATTTTGAGGAAATTAAGATAAAAATGGGAAGTTGGACATCTAATATTATAAAGCCTGGTCAGACTGCATGGATGGTAGGCCCAGGCCTGGCTCTATTATTTGTGGCATTGGCTAATCGTTTCCAGTTCCAGCAGTTGAAGTGTTAATAATATCTGAAACTAACAAGTTTTACATTGTAATTTGTAGAAGAGATACTAATTGAAAGTTGAAATAAACTTAAGTATAATGGAAGGTCACAACAGGAATGTACAGTAGGCCAAGTTTTATAACTCTTCATTGCATTGCCTGCTTTAAGCTGACCCACCACACTTTGACACTTTATTGTGAGCTTTTAGGATTATTGGCTGTCCATCCGATTCCATCGTTAGTTGGTTGTCCACAATTCATTCTAATGACATCTCTTCTAAAACCATTGTCCCAATTTTGATGAAACTTAAAAGAAATGTTCCTGCAATGCATGAAGTCAACATAGGAGTGTAAAAGTTCGATTTTCTTCACCAAAAGCAAGAGCATAGATATATGGTTTGCAGCATCTTAAATGAATGTCATTTATCTCAAAGGAAATCTTTTACTGTGACAGTGCTATTTTGCTCAAATTTATGAACAATTTGTAATTAATTACCATTTTAAGTAATGATAACAAATTCATTTCACTCCTATTCTATGTAAGGTAAGCTTCAAAGCAATTTTTTTTACCATACATCAGGGAATATATCAAGGCATTTGATTATTTTCTCAATCACTGCATACTTTATGATTGGTAAATCGCTGTCAAAATATCAAATGTAGGCAAAGGTGATTTATCGTTATTCTGTTTATATATATTTCCAGATATATAAATCAAGTACAGGTATTGTGTAGACGTATTGTACGTATTGGTAGCCTAGGAGACGGAGGATGGGAGATTTGTGACGACAGGGAATTTAGACCTAGTCAACCCTGCCTTGTGTATTCATTTGGGTATTTGAAATCTTTTTCCTTTATTATTTTTAGCTCATCTGAGCTCTGGTGAGGTTTTATGATGGAATGTTGTACATTGTTTGTCAGTATATACTCACAATATCTGTCAACAACATTTCATTAACTGCAAGTTGGATTTTAAACTATTGTGATGACAATGCATCTGTCTGTTGCACAGTTGTTGTTGTTTGTTATTGTCCACATATTCTTTTAACAACAGCTCCTTGTAAACCACAAAGAGGATTTTGACCAGACTTCACAGGATTGGTCCTTTGGTGGCCTTCTGTTTAACTGTTGGAACTCCACTGAGGTCCAAAGGATTTAAAAATTAATGTTTGTATTTGGATCAACTGCAGCATTTTAAATGAAATTAATTTATAAGGAAGTAAACATAAATTGAAAATCATGTTTTGCAGTTGAAATCATTTAAACTTGGCTTTTCATTTTTGGGTCAGTCTTGACAATTAATTAAAAAGATTGGCTAAAAATAGATAAAAAGATATTGCTGCAAACGTATCAAATGATTGATTTTGATTGTATATTTCAGGATAAATAATGATTTTACATTTGATGATCATATGGCAGACAGATACAATTGTATGGTATACTCGTTTGATCCGAGGTAAGAAATAACTTAAACAGACAATGTGATTCTGTTCTTTAATTTGTCACACTGTTATTTTACCTTTGTATATTAGCTGGACATTTTTGAATAAAAAAAATCAATTTAAGCTATTGTAACAGTCATGGTATTTAATGATTGCCGTTGCCATCTTCAAACTTAAACATTAACCAAAACATTAACCATAATTTTTTATTTTCTTAATGGATTGACTTCATACTTAAATACAGCAACTATTTGTACAAGACTTTCAAGCAGAACAGACTTTACTCGACCTTGGCTAACCAGTAATTGACCTTTTAATATTCGTAGACCAATGATTTTCATGATTAAGTTAGGGGTCAATTGGGTCAAGGTCACTGGTACTAAAATTCACTCATACAGTCTTTATTAATTAAGTAATTTATTTCATATTTAGTAGGTTGATACTTGCTTTCCTCCAACTTCTAGTGGAGTTTTTGGGTCACTGGGTTTTAGGTGAAGGTTTTGCAATTACATATACATATACAGTATTTGTTTAACCTTTATTGGCAAATTGAATATTTTTCAATTTTATAAAATAACATGCTTATTAAAAAGTTATTTATATTTTTTCTGACAAATACCAAAGGGCATAGTTCTGTCAATTAATATACTGGTGCTAACAGTTTTCCTTGAGAAATTTCCTTTTTCATAACTGGAGCTATTCGGGGAGATTGTGTAGTTGCTTATTATTGACTGTTGTCAGTGTTGCATGATGTAGACTTACTATTCTTTCAGTATGAAGAACATGTCAGAAGGTGAGAGAAGAAATAGACAATGGTTTTATCATACAGGGCTGTCAGAACAAACCCAAATATTGAGAAATGGTTGGAAAGTTTCAACACTACATGATATTCTGGTGAAGCAAGGTCATGTGGAGGTATGACGATTTTCAATGGGAGATAATTTATTTAGTTATTACTATCTATATAAAATTACTTATGTTACATAAATGTCTGCCCTGCTGACCATAACTAAATCTATCCCTGAGACCAGTGCGGACCAAGACCAGCCTACACATACATGCTGTCTGATCATGGTCTGCACTGTTTGCTATTTAGTCAGTACTTAATTTTGAAAATATCTCAAATACTGATGAATGATTTTTGTGTAGATTAAAACATGACCAAGACTATTTTAATTTGAGATATCCTGGTTGGAAAAGATGAGAATATAAAAAAGTGAAAGTGCTACAGTTTAATATTAAAATATAATTTATGCTACATATATATCCTTTTCAAGCCAAGTTATTTAGTAAATTAAAATACGTAAATATCAATAATGTTAAAATGACAGTAGATATCAGCCTATTTCTTATGCTTTGTTTAAAAATTACTTGGTGTTACATATTCATGTTGCATTTTCAATATGTTTGAATTTCTCGTTATTTACTTGTTCCCATTTCAGGACACAATCGACATTTTAAAAATTGACACAGAAAAGTTTGAATGGCAAACTTTGATACAGATCTTTGAGACAGGGGGTGTGAAAAATGTTAAACAACTTCTTATAGAGTTACATATTGCAATAGTGGGAGAACCAGAAAAATTAGAGTTAATACAAGGGCTAGGAGTGTTGAAAATGTTATATGATCAAGGATTTCGGATTTTTTATTCACACAGAAATTTGTGGTGTAAATATTTATCACAATTTAAAGGAATAGAAGAGATAGGTTGTCACGAAGTGTCCTTTGTATATATTCCTCAATGAGTGATTATAAACATTCATTTTATACATATCCATTGAAGTGCAGGTCTTTCAGTCTAGTTACATTATATATTGCCATACTAAGTCTATTTATCATGGACTGCATAAGCCTTTTTCTTGCATAATTATGACTTTTTAAGACAGGACTTTCTACTGTTTACACTGGTGCTAGAGAAACACATTTCACAATGCTATTTTACACAAGTTGATGCTATAAATGACACCATTCCTGTTTGCCTATTACGAATTGCATTCTTAGGAAGTTAGGAGGATATCATTTTGATGTTACATTTGAAGGTGAAAATTGACACGCTTTCATAAGAAAAATGTGCTACAATTATTAGTTTTCATAATTACTTTCTGAAAATATGATTCATCAATTGTATCTAATACGCAAGAAAATAATCAAATACAATTATTATGTAGTTTATACTAGCTGGAATCACTGATGGGAGTATCTCTGGTAACTGTTTAGCCGAAACTCAGCAGAGCCTCATTACCAGCCTGAACCAGCAGCTGGTGTTAGATTCTTATATTAGCTGTCTTTAGCACAAAGTGCTCTTAGTAGAGTTTTTTTTACAGCAACTTGTCAGTCTTCCATGTATTTGTTTATGTTGTGTCCACTTTTTTTCCACAATTTGTATTGGTGCAGATCCTTTTTTCAAGTTCACCCTATTGTCATCTATGCGTGTTGTCAAGTTTCATAAAATTATTACAAGTCCTTTTTGTAATATCAAAGGATTAAGAAGTTTTTGAATTTCAAGGCTATTAGTTGGCATAGCAACCACATTTTCTGAACTAAGGAACAAAATAAATTGATGTTCATAATCTCAATATTGCAATCTTGCCAGGTTTAAAGTTTTATGAAAATATTGATATTTCAAGTACTAAAGTACTTTTTGAAGTACCATAATTATGATCCTTTTTTTGCGATGCATTATTAGCCAGAGACCTAAAATTGCTGAATGATTTGTTACCTTTTATTCTTACATTCTTAATGGTGCCATTTTTCAGCAAGGACGCCAAAATGCACAGAGAGCTAACATACAGTCCTCTCCAGTGAACTGGTAGGGGATAAAAAAGATATTGGTGCATATTGCTGAAATAATATATCATAGAATGTTCTATTTCATAGGCCGCCCCAATAAATGACCATTATAATGCAATGTTTCAAAGTGTTTAGTTGAACTTTTCATATTACTTATTCCAGCTTTTAAAGAAAACGATCACAAAATATTGGTTGTGTATCAAAATTGTATTTTCATGAAAAATCCGAATTTATTTTAGCATTTCTTATATATCTTTGTTTCTATATCAGATGCTTTTATTCCAAGGAGAAAAGTTAAATTTGTTTGAAACATTTTACTTTCCTTTGATGGCCAGTCTGTTTTCTCCCTGTTTATTGATTAATTAAGCTAATCAACATGTATATTTTTAATAAAAGATGTGGTTGAAATGCATTATGTCCATTGCACAATCTTTTCTTTAAAATGGTAAGCAGTCTTTAAGGCAAGGTGCATTTTGTCACTTAATTTGTAGACATAATTTTCAGGTAATGTTATTGTTGACAGAATATCATGTACATGTAATAATAATTTTAAAATTATTTGGAAATATAACTAAATTCTTACGTTGTGTTTGATTTTTCTTTGCCATTTCATATATTTTGTACAACTATTTTAAATTATCTGTAAACAGATCTTTTTTTACAAACAGTTAATCTTTAACGTTCATATTTTCTATTGCTCAGTTTGTGCATGCAATCACCATTATGCTTTTGCCCATTGCTTAGCTACATGCAATGTCACTAGGCTTGAAGTTAGGGGTCCCTTAATTAAACAGGGCCCACTAAATACCTGTTTAATAATAAGGGATGGTCAAGATAATCTCATTATGTAAGTATTAAAATACCTTTTATTATACAAAATGAATGATAGGCCTGTGAGACAAATGTTAATTATAAAATTAAAAATGTTAATTATAAAATTAAAAGCTTTCAAAAATTTTATTCAAGGTTTCTTGAAGATTTTGACAAAATTATGGTAGTCATATTCAGTAATGTTTTCCTATTATAAATAGTATGTGTAGATAACCAATGGCCATGGAAATTAGCTGTAAAGTTTGAATTTCCTGTATTTTCTGAACATTGTTCGATTTTACACCTTTTTCTAACAGTATTTCAGTCATATAGGCGGGTAGTTTCCTAACCATCGTTCCTGGAAAGTTACACCAGTACTAGACTACCTTCCTCCACGCTAAACTACAAAAGCATCTCCCGGGGATCGAACCCACGCCAGAGAGGTAACCGGACTTCTGAACATAAAAGCAGCTGTTAAAAGTACATTGACATCTAGCCATTTCAAATTGTATTAGGTGCATTTTGATGAATCCTACACACCATGACTTTACTCTGTTCAAAAGCTGCCATACACCTTTTATCTGACTGAACAGTAACTGTTTTACACAGAAATATCAAACTGCCAACAATGATATGCACAAATAAATTGGGTCCTTTACCAGTCAGCAGTTCTTTATTTTATATTGGCCTCTTGAGACATTTGTTCCTTTTTTATATTGATTCAACACATTTTAGGTCATACTTTGGCAGGTGGAACCCCTAAATAACCTGCTTTCCTGCATAACTAAACCAGATGTTTCCAATTTCTCCACAAGTCACTTACTACTAACCATTACCCCACATATTATCAGTTCAGCCTTGAGAAACAACTGACCATTAGACTCAATGCCTGAGATCAGTTGTCAGAGAAATCTTTCATCTCGCCAGAGGATCAACCCAGCGACCCCTTGATTGCAAATCCAATGCTCTCCATACTGAGCTAAGCAGACGGACACAAAAAATTCACAAAGTTAAAAATGAAAATATCAATGTTTATTTCTTGCTTTGTAATTGATCATCATAACAAAATGCCTGAGGTATCATTTTACCACTATCATAATTTAGGAATTGAGGTCAGTTTGGTCCTTAGACTGACTTGAGACCCTGAGTCATCATCTTGGTTCTATACAAACTCGGCCCTTTGTGTTACAGGTAATATTTTTTTCCCCGATTTTATTTTGCATTTACGTAATAATGTCCATAACACATTTACACAAAATAAAGAGATTTACAAGTGTGATAGAGAAAAGAATGTGTTAATGTTAATGAAACAAGAAATGTGTCCATAGGACACGGGTGCCCCAACACTCCACTGTTTTGTCAATTTTATGACTCTAGGTATAACTTTAGCAAACCCCAAGGTGCTTAAGTACACATGCTGACCAACATTCTTGTAAACTCTAAGGCCTACAGGTCAAATAATTTTTGAGCTATGCATAAACAAGTTGAAAACTGCAAATTTATACTAAGTCAAGGGCAATAACTCCAACAAAACTGGAAAAAAATCCCAGGGGCATAGCTTCACAGTGATATTGATCATTATTACTGCAAAGTTGATTGATTCTAACTCCACAACATAATGAAATGGTTTTTACTAAGTCAATGGCAATAACTCAACAAATACTGGATAAATCCACATGCCAAATCCAAGGTGGACAACTACATATGCTGACCAACATTCCTGTTAAGTTTTATGACTCGGTTAAATACATTTTGAGCTACGCAAGACACAAATTGAAAATTTTCACATAGTCAAGGGCAATAACTCTGACAAAACATATTAATTCACAAGCGAAACCAAGGTGCACAACTTCACATGCTGATCAATATTCCTGTAAAGTTTCATGACCGTATGTCAAATCCTTTTTGAGCTACATGTGACACAAGTTGAAAATTGTAAATTTTTTCTAAGTCAAGGACAATTACTCTACAAATACTAAATAAATCTAAACGAAGACCCTTTGTCAAATACTTTTTGAGCTATGTGTGACACAAGTTGAAAATCGCAAATTTTTACTACATGTGAGTCAAGAGTAAATCTAAATGCCTTTAAAGTGAGGGCACAAAAATTACAGTTATGATTACTGACTTCAAAATACAAGGTATAGTAAACTTATCTCTTTTGCTGTATATCATGTTTTATTACAAACAGCATAAAGCCTATAAATAGTACATATAAATAGTACATATAGTTATACCAAAGAATCTATAACTTGGCATTTGAGGTCTTCCTACACAAGGTAAGTTGAAATGTTGCCATATGACTTTTACAGTGTCTGGTATGACTAAAAAATCCAACAAAACACACAAACCAACATTTTTCAAACATGCCTCAAGCATAATTAAGTCTTCAATGTTTTATTCATATGTGCCAACCAAAATAACCAGTCTGGCAAGGGGGCTGGGGGATATTATAATTGTAAATACAGCAGATTTTAACTGCATTTCAACCAATGATACATGTATAGATCGCCAATCTGTAAAGTATGATGAAAACCCTGAGTTAATACCATAAATTTGAAAAAAATAGCTTTTCAATGAGGTATGTATTCAAATAGGAACTACATATTGTTCAATCCAGCAATATATTCTGATTGTTTAAACCTTCAAGATTTTAATCAAGGTAGTTGCATTACAAAAGTAAATGTCAATTAGTCAAGACAACATCTTTTTGGTCAGTGAGCTGATCCTGAATATAGGGGTACTTTTGAAAATGTTACTGCTGGGAATGACTGTCGTATAGTTGGTGACTGTTGTACCTGAAAAAATACCACAAACCTTAATTCTGTCGGCACTTTAATTCAATATAAATGTATCTACGAATATAGGCATAGACATTTAATTTTTATAATGTCAGTCACCAATGCAACTCTCAAATTCATTATTTCAACTTCACATATATGGTATAAACAATTTCAAGACGTTTTTCCAATACATGTATACATGTAATTGTATTTCAAATTCATGAATTAACAATATCAACTTTATGAATTTTCAATTTCGAATTCATTGACTGAAATTCATTATTCACATTCACTTCAAGATCTAAACTTCATGAATTCACAATTTCAACCTCTTGAACTCAAATTCATGATTTCAACTTTTTTTTTTTTTTAATACATTGTTACTACATGTTATTACTGATTTGGATTTCAGGGAATACAGATTCCATGAACAATTTAAAATTGCAATTTCACAAATAAATAATTAGCGAAAGATATAACCCTTTGTCTATGAATGTCTATAAATTGCTTTCACAAAAGTTTTTTATTTTCCAACAAATATAATCCTATAATCTTTAATACTTTCTGAATCAAAGTTTCTTTCTAAATCAAAGTTTTCCCATTGTCAAAACATTTTCAAGAAACAAGAAAGTTCTATTTGAGATTGGAACTACTCGTGTGAAAGTTTTACTGTATACATGACAATACAACTGCAAAGAGACTATCTATTGAAAACAAAAGCCCTTACTTAGTATTCATCTTTTCATATCCATATACAGTAATTATAGAATATTGTCCCTTCGATATATACATAAATAATATAAGCCTTCATTACAGGACACTTCATACTGAGCTTATTGATGTTTGTAAGAAACACTTACATTATTATACCATCTTGATAAATGCATCAATTTCTGTTTGTCATAAAATGTCAGATCAGCCTGAAAATAAAAATCTTATCTTTATTTATTCTTGTAAAACCATCCTAGAACCTACCTTAACATATATACAAGAACAAAGGGATGTAATTCAGTCAAAATACCAATGCCAGAGTTACATGTATGTCTCTAAGTTGGTTACCTTCATTATTTCAGAACAAGAAGGCACCTGAGTAGAACATTCAACATTCCATAAGCTAGCTATGAAAGAATACAAGCCGCTGGCAGATTAGGATCACACAGCAGGAAGTGGTTTGAAATTAACAACCATAACCACTTAGCCATAGATATCCCTTGTCATATAACAAATAGTTTTAGCTTCAAGTAACTGCAAGCTCAGTTCTGGCTTCTCTTTTTAACAATTCTTTCTTTCATCAGTTGCGGCATACCTGTTGCTTTATGACTAAACTGCATTGTTTTTGGTTCTAATATTAGATAGGGCTATTACATTAAAATAAAATGAATGAACTGTTTTGCTAGAGGTCATAACCATGCTTTGATGTTACAGAATTCAAGCTTACAGGAAGTCAGTGATCTACTCCGGTGCCTGCTTGTTCCTGAAATAATGCAAAAAGGGCACCCTCTAATAGAGCTGGAAAGTATCCCATGTGACATTAACAGTATCGGTGTGTCTTTAAATGAAAAAAAAATCAACAAATAAAAACATTAGTTGTGCTGGTGTAGTATATGATAAATGTAACTTTTATATAGAAATACATACCGTAGTAATGCTTTATACCACAGATATTTGCTTTGGGCTTTGTAGTTTTAGAAAAAACTGTACATTCTGTTACCTATAAAGTGATTTTTATTTCAGCTTGAAATTAAGATTAGAGAATAATGTCAAAGAATACTTGAATGAATACTTACAAAGGTTGGTTGGAGAGTATAAAACAATGCTAGATCTATCAGGCTTAATCTGTGATGTAAAAAATACACTTTATCTTTCAAATAGTGGTCCAAATCCTGAAATAAATTATCATATTAACCAATTAATATACATGTATACTCATAAAACACTGTCAATTCAACAAGCAAATTCATCAAGTTGGTATCCCCTGTCATATGATTCAAATCATTTGACTGATGACTTAGTATGTAATCTGTTCATAATAAAGTTAAAATTTTGGTATCTTCACTCAAATGATACTTTAATACACTCATAATATTAAACAATTTCAAGCAAAAAAAGTTCTTAAAGTACATGATATCCTCTTGAGATATAACAAAATAGAATTGAAATAGGATCATGAAATGGTATAACATTTGACCATTAATTTAAAGTATGCAAACTAAAAATTACACTGAATGGATTCATATGTACTGTATGAAGCATGCAAATTTATGCTAAAATCCATTGTGCCCAATTAGACCAGGAGTGAAATTTATTATAAGTGATAAAATAATTTAAAATACTCTAGTTGAACTGTACAACAAGTACAGAATCTGGTCACACTACAAACAAGACAATGGCAAAGGTAATCAAAGACAATCAGTAAGTTCAACAACTTTGTGCAGCTTACCATTAACATGATAAATTTATCCTTATCAGAAGGGCATCTGTCTAAATGACAAACTTTATATTCCAGCCATTGATCAACTACAGCTTTCTCTGCTGCTTCTTCACCTACAAAAATAAAGTTCAGTGAGATTTTTATGTAACTTGTTTGGTTTAAAGTTCTTGTGGATCATATTAATCACTTTCGAGTCCACTTCTTGGAACCAACCAGTACTGCTGTCATATGAAGGAACATGCTTGTGACCTGATTAGGACTCGAACCCATGATCCCTGGGTTGAGAGGCAAACACCTTAACCACTAGGCCACTGCTCCCCTTTGGTGTAATGTAACTTGTATAATATACAACTACATGTGAATGAAATAAACAATCTTAACTTTTAAATGTTAAGGATGTAAAATCTAATATATAAATAATTTCAAGCAAATCATGTATACTGTCATATCATATAAGCATTGTAAAGCTATAAGAAGACCTTTCTAAGCTCAGCTTTCAGACCCAAAGCTTTTTCAACAATTCATGCCTGTATCTCATGCCTGTATCATGTGCATTACTTAATGGTATTACATATATTTGTATTTATACTATATGAAGTTGTTTAAAATAAAAAAATGTTTAAACTAATAGATCTATGCCCCGAAATAAGAAGTAAACTGGTTGATATGGTAAAATGAAGTTTCCTTGATACTTGAAAAGTGTTTTAAATTATGTACAAATGCATATGAAAATCTACCATAAATTCTATATTTTTATATACTCACCAATAAGCAGCTTCTTCTCTGCTGCTCTTGTAAGATGTTTAACAATAGAAACAAATCCTCTCCTGGTACCCGTTTTGCCTTTCATCACAGGGATCTGCAATAAAAAAGTGAACTTGCACCTTAATGAGCTGTAAATAGTGATTCTGCAGATTTCTGTTGCATAGTGCTTCCCTTAGAGTACTTTTAACAAATTACACAGATAAGACATTTTTTAATTTTCTATACTGACTTTCAAGCTTTACTGATGGAGAATTTAGACCTCAGGTGCCCCTTGCTGCATTATCTCAGGCATGAGCATATTGTGAAAAATTGCTGTTTTCATTGAAAAGCCTTCTGTTACAAGTTCAAACTGCTATGAAACCATGAAAAATGCTTCAATACTGATAAAACTCGGCACAAATGTTGACTGGACCATAACCTCTGTAACAGCATGCTCAATCTTAAATTTCCTGTTACCATGGCAACAGGGGGAGGTCTCATAATTGCCAAAAAATCACTATTTTGCATTGTTTTTTTCCATCAAAACTGATTTCAAAGTGCTGCAACTTCTCAATGCATTGAGATAGAGTAAAAGGCTTTTCAGCGTTGATTACACGCTACTCTAAGATCTACCCAAGTGAGGCCATTTTTTGCCTATCACATGTCCAAAATTTTCTTGGCGATGGGGGGGGCACAACCCCCTTCTGGCATCTCCCTGAATGCTGATGTATCTTTTGGATTGGGAGCGGCGCCGAAAAAAGGTCACTTTTTTAAACAGCATTTCTTAAACGAAAAACAGTGTTTAAAGTCCTAAATAGGCCATTTTTTCACTGTTTGAGGTCTCAAAAAGGGTGGGGGGACAAAAAGCCGTCAAAACATGTCTATATGAGGGAAAAGGTTAATGAGCATTATTCTTTATGTGGGTGATAATAATTGAAAACAATTGCATCTTATGCAGCCTTATGCTTAATGTTCATCTGTGAAGGGCAATGTCTATCAATAACCAATTTTCTTTTTAAATATTGTAAGCTAAATGGGACATTACTTCAAAATTATTTTTTTAGGATAATGCCCTTTGTCTTACGACTGTGTCAAATATTCCAAGTTTCATTTCGATATCTTTCATGAAAAATCATTCAACTTATAAGCAACTTTGACAAAAAATTTCAAAATTTTGTATGTTAAAAAGGGGCATAACTCCAAAAATACTGCTTTCATAATAAATCTCCTTGTCTAACAAATGTGCCTAGTCATGATAAACGAGGATTCCAAGTTTCATAGTTTTTAAAACTGAAAATTTAGGCAATTATGCCAACAATTCCAATTTAAAAAGGGGCCTAACTCCTGAAAATAACTTTTAATAAGCTTTCAGAATTATGCCCCTTGTTATACAACTGCACGTTGATAATCAGGTATTCCAAGTTTCGTACTTCTTCGAAACAGGCCAGCTAAAATGACAAATGTTAACAGTTATTATTACCAGCAACAGAAAAATGGTCGAGTTTGTAAAGGGTCGAGATTACTTGGGCCGAGTTAACTGGAATAATGTACTTCAGGGTATATCTGAACCAGATTCACTTATACTATTATTTAATAAAGAAATTATCAATATCATAGGTGTTCAAAAAGGCTTTTATACTCTTTCTGGTCCATCGTATGTTATTTTTCCACACTTTACGCCTAAATATGATGCTATCGCGTGTATGTTGTCACCAGTGTCGGCCATTTTCACTACAACATGTTAAAATTATTTTGGTGTACTTTAATTTTCCAAAGACAATCCTTGTGATTTAAATCACTAAAACTAGCATCGAAACTTATTAATATATGGAGAATATAATATTCTATGCAATCAAAGATCGGATAAAATACTGTCTTCTTAAATTCATTTGTCTAGTTTTCAACATATAATAGTTTCTCCCTTCAAGCGATCACGTGATGTATCATGTGACAACACAGTACACCGGTAGATATTTGACAGCCAGATAAACACGTGTACAAAATGTCTATTGAGAAATCAACTTTAGATATTTCTATGAAGGAAATATCAAATTTTGAAATAAGCAGTATATTTTCTATGGAATCTGACAGTAAGTTAATTATTTTGTTTTGGAATGCACCATTAGATATGGACTATCTGGAACATACAATACGTTATAGTACATCCCAGGGACTATATACATGCAGTACGTTAATTTAGAATAAAGTTTAATTAGATATTTTAGTTCATAATTATATTCTAACCTCTCGTCATCTATTGCCGTCAAACTATTTAAGCCATTCTGTGCAGCAGATTACAAATGTATCTTCGTTTCATCTTCATCCCTTCAGCTAAACGCCAATGGAACCATGCAGATCTCAAAGTAACTTAATTAAGGCTTGCGATAGCTCCATTCCAAAACCTACACACGTACTGTAGGCATTCATAGCATATAGACCACCAAGAGGGGGCTGCATTATTTATCATTTATTATTCTCAACCAAAATTTAAGGGATCATGGGTTCGAGCCTTATAATCGGGTCACGACCATGTTTATTAATATGACACCAGTACTGGTTGGTTCCAGGAAACGGACTCGAAAGTGATTAATATAAGTTGCAGGGACTTGTTCCGCAATCGAGCTTCTATAGATATGTTTAAACCAACCTAAACCCTTAATTGTACAGCCACCATTTGTACTGTACGTACTCGTGATTAATATGCTCGATCAAGAGCAATCCCAGTTCATTAGACGAAACAGAAGAAAAGAACCCGATGATGCAATCGCAACTTCTAGGTATTTTCCGTAAAAACAGCGAATGCGTAACCTTATTTATTTTCTTGGCCATATATGCGTCAAAACCTGTTGTATGTTTTGTTTTAGTGACAAACTCCATATGTATCGCGGTAAAATCGGCCGTTTTCATTTATGTACAGAGAAAATGGATAGATTCCTCTGATCACCTCTCAAAAATACATTTTGTTTATTTCCTTCCATTGTTTCGAGAGCCTTGTCAGTGGAAGATAACCGAGATCAACACGAAATCGAAAAAATCTCTAGGAAGAAGGATTCCCTGATATAATAATTATATAGGATACACAGCACTGATGAGAGTCAAAATGGGTTATCATCTGTTCATATCTAAATTCAGTCCAAACATATCAACAAAATCGCTTGAAAAGCAACATTAATTCTCTCTCTGTTCCATTCAAAGAAATGTCAAAACACTAAGACCAAAACTGCAGCCTGCAACACAAACACCGTCCCCAACTGAAGTATTGTTCTAATGTCTGGCATCCCATGAAAAAAAAAAACTCTCGGGAAAGTGTTGAAAAAATACCGAGGCCAGCAGTCCGTTAATTACGCCATGTCAGACTATAATTACAAGAAATGCTGAATATCTTGGAATGGAATCAAAATTCCACTTGGGTTTTGGTTTGGTTTGGAATTAGACATTACAATGTCAGCTAAGACAGAGAAATTTGAAAACGAATTATCTCTACCTCATTCAAGTACATTTGAATTTCACATGTGAAGTAAGATTTGCCTGTATTCGAAGTTTATATGAGCCGCGTCACGACAAAACCAACATAATGTGTTTGCGATCCAGCATGGATGTAGACCAGCCTGCGCATCCGCGCAGTCTGATCAGGATCCATGATGTTCGCTATCAGTTTCTTTACTTGTTATATAGGGTCTGTAAGCAAACAGCATGGATCCTGATCAGACTGCGCGGATGCGCAGGCTGGTCTGGATCCATGCTGGTTGCAAACACACTATGCTGGATTTGTCGTGACGCGGCTCATATGTTTATCAACAATAATTCTAAGCTATATCTTTCACAGGTTATCCTGCTGACGAAGCTGCCAGCTTTGACATGCTTACATACAGACACAAAGAGGCTCCTGATCTATTTCTAGGTGGATACATGCACGGGAATCTCGTGGGGGTAAGTGTTTATTTTTCAGAGTTGCAGCATGAATTGCATGCACATATAGTATTTGTATGAAATAAAGTTTTAAGTAAAAGTATCACTTTGGGAAATATTAATCTGATGTAGTAATTAAAGAGGTTATTATCATACAGAGGTACGCTCTGCAGAGGTTGTATTATATATAAAAATGCACGTGTAACCATCATGACCATGATAACAAAATAACTTGACCTTCAAAACTTCAAAATTCAGCAGGAAGTTTTACCATATTTTTTCTGTAATAGCAGGTTAAGGTCGTGGACATTGTGTTTATAGACGCACCTTGTTTATTTTTACTTTATCATTTTAACAAACTATTAAATTTCTTATTTCAGTTTATTTGTGCTACCCGATATCATGGAAAAGAATTGACACATGAGTCAATGAACATGCACATACCAAATGGAGGTAAGGGCCATATATATTCAACTTATTTTCTTGTCCTTTATTTGGTATCCATTTTTGGACACATGGTTGTTTGCTTGTTTTGTTGTTTTAAGTCAAATCGCCAAATTAAATGTCATACGGCGACTTTCCAGCTTTCCGTTCATTATTTCAGGCAAAGTGAGTAACCCACTAACCTTTCGTAAGCTATCTGAATAGCTTCCGTCGCATAGCATGAAAGAATCTATATTTGGGATTCGAGTCTACGGCGTCGAGGGGCAAGTGGTTCCATGACCTTAATCACTCGGCACGGGCGCTCCGTTGCCCACAAAGCAAGTTGTACTTATAGGTCATAGCTATAGGTGTAAATTCATGTATATCGCTACTCCAATGCTCACATTTAAGACTTCTTACTTTTTTAAACAAGATACGATGTATTCTCTTAATGGTGCGATGATGTTTGCCTGTTTATACCTAATCCAAAATACTTAATTTGTCCAGTGGTAAGTGTTTTGCGAAAAAAATTTAGGGTTGTTAGTTGTTGTTTTTTAATTATGTCAACATGTGGATCATCAATGACGGTAGGAAACTTCTCTTAAATGCATCAAACCGTTCAGACAGATTTAATTTGGCTAGAAGAAAATATGCCATTATCGAACAAAGGTTCTCAGGTGAGCGATGCAAATCCATAATGACCATCTTGTTTCATTTCAGAAAGTGTTTGTATACATTCTGTTGTTGTTAAAAGAAACCAAAGACGGAAAGTAAGTAGAAATGAAATAAATTCATTAAAAGACGTAGATCTATCAAAATAAAACCTATCATTATAATGAATATCACATCAGACTAGGCATTAGGAAGTGTTACATTTGTGATGTACAAGTGTACAGTAATGGCGAAATTTATTCATATGATCATGATATTAGGTCCTGTAAACTTTGAAAGTACATGACCACCTGATAACTTACGTAAGCTTTCAACATTTAACACCAATACAATTCTGTCCTTCGGAGCATGACTTGCCGTCCATTTTTTGAAAATGCATTTTACTTACACTTATAAAAGAAATCTACTAAAATAAACTATGTCATAATAGGCTGTTTAGAATTATGTACTCGTTATTCACTTATGTCATCACTATAGCAAGTCTATATATACTTCTCTGTAACACCATTCTCGCCTAAATATAATATAAATTCCAGCGTACTTGAAAAAAAATTATCAAATTAAAAATCAAAAACACACTTTGTGTAATTTGTTCATATCATGGCTAAGATGTCATTGGATTACTGTCTATAAAGAGTACCAAACATTACAAGCTATCGTATAGCGCATTATATGATTTTACTAGTATAACTGTTAATGAATTGTGCATTCCTTATAAAAGAAATAAAACAAATTTTAAATCAATATTCGTTTACTTACGTACTGTTCTTATGTAAACGATCCTAATCAACTGAAAATGTGAAAGTTTTGATTCTTAACAAGGTTTTATTTCTTTTAGGGTATAGCGCTGCAGATGTTGAAGTTATTTATAGAAAATGTGAAGTCAGAACAGGCGAACGTAACAGGGATACTTCTCATCTGCAAATCGAACCTAATACCTCTTTACACGAAGGCCGGTTTTGAGCTCGTCGGGAAATCACATGTTGTTCATGGTAATACTAAATCACTGATTTAAGTTCATAACTTTTATTTCTTCAAAAGAATAATTAAGATGCGCTATAGTGTTTTAGACTATTGTTTTTGTTTGTAACGGCAAGATTATGTAATAAGATATACATGTAATTTAATTTTAAGTGATTTCTCTGAACGAAAAGATGATTGTCAATTCTAACACGACCCGCATTTTTCCCTATTGAACATAGAAGAACCGAAAGTGTGTGTTATTATGCAATAGAGTCACTGTTTGACGTTCTATATTTAGACATGTGACGTAATCATTATACATGTGACGTAACCACTATAAAATCCGACGCGCTGACATTAAGTACGGAAACAAATTAGGCGCAATTTTGCTTAATAGCAGGTACGGCAGCATTTTTTTTGTTTATGTCGTGTTAGAATCGAAATAATATATCTAAATCGGTGATTTTATCGCTGGATAAAATCACTGTTTGTCGTTCGGATGCGCATCATTATATCACTCGGGCTACGCCCTCGTGATATAATTCCTCGCATCCGAACTCCAAACAGTGATGTTATTGAGCGATAAAATCACAGTTTGGGATATATTATTTCTTAATTATATTTCTGGTACCTGTTACAATGTATTTATCATGATGTTATGTTAAATGTAATTGTATCGTCAAAAGTGTTCATCGACTGAAAGTTCCGAACTTCCGACCATTGTTAAAGGTACAGCTATCTACTGCCATTTTTAAGGATGTCATTTTTAATGCCATTTCCTTTTTAGGCAAAGATCCATGGTATGAACTCAAAATTTCATTAACTTGAGTTTAGCCAGGAGGAACTCTTAATTATAGCAAGAATTGACATTTATAATCAGAGGATATACATGTACAGGGCAGATGGATGTAGCGCATAGACTTACGTGTGAAACGGATTATGAAAATACATACCGGAAGTGTTTTCTAAGAGGATTGGAATTGTGTTTGAAAGCTCTCACTTCCCATTTTTATATCACATTGGTCTATATATATGTCATTCTGTGTGTTATGGCGCTCCAGGCACAAAACGCAGAAACGCAAATTGGAAATATGACCCTTTTTACCAGATCTAAATTCACTACTGACTTTTGTGAACTTATATATGACTTGTGATAATTGAAAAAAATAAAGAAACATCGATTCAAAAACCTAAATTTTACTTTTGAAAACAGATGCTATTGCCACAAGACCTTAATGGTTTTCCGTATCTCTGGCACCGTTTAAAATATCTGAACTTTCATAATGATAGACAATCTTTGCTCTTCAGCGCACAAAACTTTTTTTAGGCCACTGACTGAAGAAATTACATGAAACATTTACATACCATACATACACTTCCAGCTGACGTAAAACTACCGTATAAGTTGTCGGCATTTAAACTTAAACTAAAAGTTTGATTAACAAAATCTTTTAAAAGCACTTAAAAATCATTTTTTTGTCAGATTGATCATCTGATTTTTTACTGAAACTTGCATAGATCTATACTAATGTTTAGATTAAACATTTTTTGATCATGAATTTCATTAAAATTGATGGGTGGAAGCATATGCTTATATATGTAGTATTTTTAAAGACTAAAGGAACCCTACTGATATTTTAAGACGTGTCGGGACTAAAAACAATTTTCTGAGATCAAGAAGTACGTTCCATTTGATGTTAATCATAAACCAATTACGTTTGTGCAAAATCTCAGATCATTCGCTTCGTTTTTCCTGAATAATTAATTATTCCGATTGTGAAAATTGGAAAAGCAAAGCCTTTCACTCAATTTGGGCTCCGAATATGGCATTAAAATACGTTTTTCTATTTATTTCCGAGTTCGATCATTTCTTGATTATCTCTTGCATTTCATTCTCTCCCCCCCCCCCCTCTATGTAAGAATTTTTTTATAACTTTATGCTTTTGAACCTGAGCGTAGTTAAAGTGAAAATTCTATGTTCGACGTTAAACATATACATGTATGTAGTGTACATTTCTAACTGACCACCTACATGAACTTCAAAAAATTATTATCACATCTCGAAGACAAATATATATATATATAAGCAAATATTCGTTTAAAATATCACTTACTACTGATATGTAAAACTAGACAAGCATAACTGATAATTTGTGACTTGGATATTTGCAAATAAAAGTTATGGCAGTCCTACATCATGTGATCAACAGAAAAGTTCAATTAAAAGGGGGTAATCCTCTGAAGTCATTTTGCAAAAATAAAACGGTTGGCTCTCTATAACAAGATAATTTTCATGTTTCAGGCATTTCGTTCTCTTAGAAAAATCACATCTTAAGCTCGAAAAGTCAATTTTTGGGTACGATTATAATTAGGGACTATTACTCATACTGTAAGTCTATGAGAAAATCAATACTTAAGTTTGACCTTACAGTATTTTGTCGGTTGTATCGAAGTAGCAGGGAACCAGACAAACTCATGAAAGTGGTAACTTCCCGTTATCTGTACATTCCGAAGAAAGAATGGGAGGTCACTGCGTTGAGACTGGGAACCAGGGTGCAGCCCACTGTAATGAAATTGGTCTACGTGTTCTCGATTTTCAGAAGAAAAGCTTTAATAACGGTTAGTATGCATTCAACCAAAGCATTATATATCAAAATGAAAGTTTTTCTATTTAACATCGAAAGGCGCAGGCTGGTCTGGATCCATGCTGGTCGCAAACGCACTATCTTGGTTTTGTCATGACGCGGCTCATTTAAATCTATGGTTAATTAATAAGGCAATGTTATAAAAATGAAAAGTGTTATTAAAAATTATTAGTATTAAGCCTATTGGTGTCTATTTTAGAAGCATTTTTTCAGTTCTCATACCTTCAGCCATCATAGATACAATTTCTATTTTTCTGCGTGAGACACATTTCAATTGATTACCATATGATCATGAAAGAAAATTTTACCTTAAAGCCCCATGTTCACAAAATGTGAAATGATGTTCCATCAATGAGTTTCATAAATTGTGAAATAAATTTGGTCTTTTCTGAGATACTGAGATTTTTTTGTATTTGAACATTGACCGGCAATCAGTTTATAAATAGCAGTACATGGTTTTCAGTAAAAGCTATTGACAAGGCAAGTAACATTATGTATTTATTTGTCAAACATTATTTATAAATGCACTCCTTGTGGCTGATGGGTTGCCTTTATTATGGTTGAGGCATAAGAATTGCAACCACCTTTTATCCCTGTGTAATTGTAACAGGCGACTAGATGGGTTCGAACAACTGCATCTTTTAGCTCTAGCAGGTGGGATGGTTTCGAACACTGGTGTTGCTTTAAAGTTTGTAACACATGAGGTAAGCCAAAATAATCTTTTCCTGTTTTTGGCTCCACATGACTTGCAGGCTAAACTGTGTTGGTGCACCTTTTAAACCAAACAAACAAACATTTTATAAACGTGAACTTTAAATGCTAAAACATATTTTCATCACTCGCCAGTAGTTGCAATATCTGTAATATTTATCCTTCCTCTGTTACTCTGTTACATGTGCTATGGTCTTCTTCAGTATACAGCATTATACTGTTGTTAATTACAGTGTACTTGGTTTATACAGAATTTATTTTAGTTCGATTGTGTAGAAAGCTATAAGCTTATAGACACACTTTCGAATCCGTTCCCTGAACCAACCAGTTCTTGTACTTGGAGGCAACCATTTTTTGGGCAAACGTGTTTTCCCTCATAAACAGGTTGTTTTCCAAAGGAAAATCCAGGCATCCCCATTTCAGATGCTCTTCTGTTCCATTCTATTTCTAGATTTCCAAAACTGTCAATTTTATTAATGTTTTTCAAGAAGCTGTTTGGGACAAAGGAATATATTTCAACTTTATTCTTTCTACGTATAGTTTCCACTTTGTGTTCAAGAGTTTTCAGTTTGTCTTGACTTTTGTTCAGTGCAATAAATAGCTGTTTGGTTTGTGTTGTTTCCATCTCTTTATTGTACATACCATTTATTCATCCTGGCAGAACTTGCTAGCCCTCCCTCCTCCATCTCACTCGGCCCGGCGCTGTTAAATCAAAATTATAATTCGTAAATACTATTGTACTCATGCATAGATCATATAAATACTTGATAAAAAAAATTCTAACAAAAACTATATACTTTCAATAAACCAATAGTGAGAAAAATAACAGTTACAGTATCCTCTTTTATAGTGAATTATCTAAATATAGACTAGTTATCTAAATATAGACTATTTGTGTATAGATAGATTGTATGATTGAACGCTGAAAGCCAAAGACCATCTCTTTATTGTACATACCATTTATTCATCACGACAGAACTTGCTAGCCCCTCCCTCCTCCGTCTCCTCCCTCCTCCATCTCACTCGGCCCTGCGCTGTTAAATCATAATTATGATTTGTAAATAATATTGTACTCCTGCATAGATCATATAAATATTTGATAAAGAAATTCTAACAAAAACTATATGCTTTCAATAAACAAATAGTAAGAAAAGTACGTAACAGTTGCAGTATCCCTTTTTATAGTGAAGTATCTAAATATATACTAGGTATCTAAATATAGACTAATTATCTAAATATAGACTAGGTATCTAAATATAGACTAATTATCTTAATATAGACTAGTTATCGAAATATAGACTAGTTATCTAAATATAGACTAGGTATCTAAATATAGACTAGGTATCTAAATATAGACTAGGTATCTAAATATAGACTAGGTATCTAAATATAGACTGGGTATCTAAATATAGACTAGGTATCTAAATATAGACTAGTTATCTAAAAATAGACTATTTGTGTATAGATAGATTGTATGATTGAACGCTGAAAGCCAAGGACCATCTCATTATTGTACATACCATTTATTCATCCCGGCAGAACATGCTAACCCCTCCCTCCCCCTTCACTGTTAAATAAAAATTATAATTTGTAAATTATATTGTACTCGTGCATGTAGATCTATAACATATATTATTTTTAATATTTTTTATGAAAAAATATCTAAAATATAGACTAATTATCTAAATATAGACTATTTGTTTATAGATAGATTGTATGATTGAATGCTGAAAGCCAAATACCATCTCTTTATTGTACATACCATTTATTCATCCCGACAGAACTTGCTAGCCCCTCCCACCTCCATCTCCACCCTCCTCCATCTCACTCGGCCTTGCACTGTTAAATCATAATTATAATTTGTAAATTATATTGTACTCATGATGTAGATCTATAGCATATATTATTTTTATTTTTTTATAAAAAAATATCTAAAATTGTGACTTATAATTTAAATATAGACTATTTGTGTATGATTGAACGCTGAAAGCCAAAGACCATCTCTTTATTGTACATACCATTTATGCATCACGACATTTATACTAGCCCCTCCCTCCACCGTCTCCTCCCTCCTCCATCTCACTCGGCCCTGCGCTGTTAAATCAAAATTATGATTTGTAAATAATATTGTAATCATGCATATATCAAAATAAATTCTAACAAAAATATACTCCTTTATAATTTCTTTTCTAAATTCTATGAAGTTAACAAAACTATGTTTAAGCTGAAAACTATGCAGAGTTTATATACATATACAAGAATAAATCAATTACCTCTAAGTCCCACCTCCTAAAAGCATAACATACGGTGACACATCATCTTCCTCCAATACTTTCACATTCTCATTCACATTCTCGCCTTCTATTTGGATTTCTGGCAGGATATAGCTCGCCGAAGTGTCAGTTGCTTTCATGCAGAATGGTTGATAACCAAATTCAGCTTGCTCATGATCAGTGGCATTCTTGCAAACCCCTCTGCGAGATGATCCGGGGGAACGCACACTGACCAGAGCAATTGCAGCGCTTCTGCCCTCACCATACATACTTATCAAAAAAACAGCAAGCTCTTTGACCGAAGGAAAATTCAAAGCTCCGGCCAAAGACGTGATCAATTTTCCTTCGTATTTCAGCTGCCCATGGGAGTCAAACAAACTGACACTTCCATCTCCATTGATTACTATACCATGCGAATACACACCAACGGTCACCAAAAACCCAAGCTTTCGCATCTTCCTTCTATTAAACCAATGTGTCACGTATTCCTGTAATGGGCATTACAGATAATCTTAACATGTTATGCAACATTAATTTACTAAATTACTATTTCATGCAGAATATTCTTCAGATATTAACGACATATATGTTTTTTTATTTACTTGTAACTTTCGTGAAACTCTTGTATAGAATTTTGAACATGAAGTACCTAATATTACCAAACTATCATTAAAAAATCATTCTTCAAGAGTAACTAATAAATACCTTTAAATTATAATGTAAATTATATATTTTTTAAAGGAAATAAAGTACTTACCTCTATGGTTTGAAATCCATCGAAACCTTCAATCATCGAGGTGAAAACATACTCGCACTGGCGTGTCAAGCGGACATATGTGTCTCTTCCAAATAAATTTCCAACATTCAAATACCTGTCGCTTGGAAATTCGTCTATTGCAACTTTCCTGTCGGGGTTTTTGCTTATTCTTATGTCATCTCTACAAAATGATTACAAATAAATACCAATATATGCTGAGTTATAATTGTTGTTGAATATCGTTGTTAATTATAAATCATCTTCGTGAAAATAACAATCATAGAAAGTCGTTGTTCATAAATAATGACTATGTTCGTGAAAATAACAACCAGAAAAAGTCCTAAAGTTAAAAAATACTCGTTGTTAATGAATATATATAACAATAACAGAAACTCGTTGTTAATAAATTATGTTCGTGAAAATAACAAATTATAGAAATATGTTGTTCATGAAAATAACAATCATAGAAAAATGATGTTAATAAACAATTTCGTGAAAGTAACGTAGTTGATAATCGACAATATTTGTGTAAATTACAATTAGAATCGCGTGAGTAATTTGAGAGATCTGTAGATGGACAGTACCTCTAAGTCCCTAATGCCTACATGTACACGTAAAACAAAGTTAGGTCGACTTCCTCTTTAGTCATTTAGTTTAGATTAGAATATCAAGAATTCGTTCATTTCTTGCGGTCAATTATATACATGTAATGTCATTAATTAGCATCATTCTTTGATTATAATGCTCCAGTCATCACTTATTTTTCAACTAACAAGTATGAACGTGTATCAGATCAGTGCATCAAACTCGCGATCATAAACAACTGTGCCTGTATTTTAAATACATATGTAATATTCATTCGATATTTTATATGTTGTGATTGCATACCGTAGTCTAGTGTGTAGTTTGTCTCCTTCAGCTAATATAGCATTTATTCCAGCAGGTGTCAAGTTAGGGTAAGATTTTTGGTGTATAATTGCTGCTAGGGCCATGCTCGTACATTGAACACCGGCATACTTTCCGGGTAAACGGAATTGGTTCGTATTTCCGAACGTGTAAGTGAGAGGACCTGGTTAGACAGAGACAGATATAGCAGAAAGATAGATTAGAATAAAAGATAGAAAATACAGATATAGCAGAAAGATAGATTAGAATAAAAGATAGAAAATACAGATAAAGCAGAAAGATAGATTGGAATAAAAGATAGAAAATACAGATATAGCAGAAAGATAGATTAGAATAAAAGATAGAAAATACAGATAAAGCAGAAAGATAGATAAGAAATACAGATAAAGCAGAACGATAGAAAATACAGATATGGCAGAAAGATAGATTAGAATAAAAGATAGAAAATACAGATAAGGCAGAAAGATAGATTAGAATAAAAGATAGAAAATACAGATAAGGCAGAAAGATAGATTAGAATAAAAGATAGAAAATACAGATAAGGCAGAAAGATAGATTAGAATAAAAGATAGAAAATACAGATATTGCAGAAAGATAGATTAGAATAAAAGATAGAAAATACAGATATAGCAGAAAGATAGATTAGAATAAAAAAAATAGAAAATACAGATATAGCAGAAAGATAGATTGGAATAAAAGATGGAAAATACAGATAAAGCAGAAAGATAGATAAGAAATACAGATAAAGCAGAACGATAGATAAGAATAAGAGATAGAAAATACAGATATGGCAGAAAGATAGATTAGAATAAAAGATAGAAAATACAGATACGGTAGAAAGATAGATTAGAATAAAAGATAGAAAATACAGATAAGGCAGAAAGATAGATTATAATAAAAGATAGAAAATACAGATATTGCAGAAAGATGAATTAGAATAAAAGATAGAAAATACAGATCAGGCAGAAAGATAGATCGGAATAAAAGATAGAAAATACAGATATGGCAGAAAGATAGATTAGAATAGAAGATAGAAAATACAGATATAATAGAAAAATTGATTAGAAAAAATAAAGAAAATACAGATATAGCAGAAAGATAGATATGAGACTAAAAGATAGAAAATACAGATATAGCAGAAAGAGTAGATTAGTAGAAAAGATAGAAGATACAGATATGGCTGAAAGATAGATTAGAATAAAGATAGTTTTAGACTGAAACAGAAATAGACAGAGTAGTATAAATAAGTGATAAGAAGAATTAAGCAACTGAAAACAGAAGACATTTGAATATTTGACATAAGAAAGAAAGAAGTAAAAAGTTTTTTTTTCTTCAGCTTCATCTCCAGCCCTCATTTCATATCGAAAATGCTTTCTCTTTTCATATTCCATAGTGACGTCATATCGCAATGAATAAAACAAGTAATGGTTGTGGGTTATGATTATTAACACCATAATGAATGATGTACATCATACATGATTACAGCATGATCAAATATTACAAAAATCAAATCTATTTACCATTTCCAAGCCTAAGTGTACCTCCGTGTTTGTTTGTATGCACTACTACAGCATTTTTTGTGTTTTGATCTGCACCTCCACTCTTACAGCAACTCATCTGGAAAGTGCATAATACCTTAACATGGCATCTTTATTGTTGTATGTGATATAGACTTTCAGGAGTTTTATCATACTGCAGCAACCCTTTTATACAAACTTACTAAAATATTTATTATGAATAATTATGCAAAATAATCAGTTAGTACTGAAGCTCAATTCCTGATTTTCTAAAATACTTGTCACTTAAGATTCCTTCCAGTCAATGTAACCACTGGCGGGATAATAGCTGAACTATGCCATTAGCTTAAAGTGAGTCCGTGCTGGCTATATTTGTAACATCAAAACCCTCCTGGTTTCGTTCTGTGAATAAACAGTACTAAATTTAAATCAGGAAAATGCAACCACACAAAGCCCATAGATATGATAGAGATCTAGATAATAAGATTAAAAGTTATTTTTATATTATCAATCGTTAAATTAAGGGTTAAGACCTGCAATATTAAATATAGTTTTAAATTTGGCAAATGAATTATATTTTAGTCTAGATTTAGCATACTGTATAAGTTTATAGGAACTATTATTATTATTATTAATATTATTATTATTATTATCATTATTAAATAACAACAATAATAATAATATAATAATAATGTAATCAATTTACAAACAAACAAACCAAACTAAACTATTTAAATAATGATAAGAAAATAAAGATTTAAGATGACGATGATGATGTTAATTGATGATGATGTTGATAATGGAGCTAAATTTAGCTAAAGTAGATTCTAATTTTAAATTTGTAACAAATTTGTGATAAACATTGCGCATGCGTAGACTCTGGTATTTTTTTTAAAAAAAAACAACAACAAAAAAAACAGCGACTCATTCTAGCAAAAAATGTTCTTTTATAAGAAATATTTGGCATATTTTCTACTACAATTTTTTCAAACTGATACCTTTTACATATAACTTTTGTTGTTTTTTTCCCCCAAAAAACCGAAAAATTCCTTTTTTTATCAACTTTTTCAATTTGATAAGATTGACAGCTGGGGCGCTGACAACGGAAGTGTATATATGCGGTACGTCAGAAGTAAAAAATTGGTTACATCGACTAGAAAATCAGTTTGATTCATTTTGAAATACTACAAGAAACATTTCACCATTTTGGACTCCTACAGATTCAAAATTAACGAGAAAATGGGTGAAAACATCGTTTGACAACAGCGTTAATAAGAACCGTAAACAGCTGATTGGGACTTCCGGTTAAGAGTTGTCTTTTATATATCAAGGTCAATGTTATATATACTCCTGGTTGAGACCCCCGGGGTCTATTCCAGGCGGTAGATCTACTGAATCCGTTGCGTATTTATTTCCGTTTAAAGGAATATTTTTTCGCACAATGTAAACTCCAGTGCAAAAAAAAATGTAAAACATGATAAACATTGCGCATGCGTAGACTCTGGTTTTTTTTTTTAAAAAGCAGCGACTCATTCAAGCAAAACATTTGTTTTGAATAACTTGTTCCGGGAAGGTGGTTTCCTGTTTCCAATTGTTAGTGCATGATTGAACGGGAAACCAGCTGCAATCGTGCCAATCGCACCTTTTCGGCCTTTTACGTCACTCTTCGGATTAATGATAATAGCCGATGTAGTTCCGATTGCAATCGTGACAATTCGGGCGATTTCGTCATACTGCGGAATCAGACGAAGTAATATTACGGAAATCTAAGCTATTTTAGTTACTTCGGTAATCTCAGTTTGTTTTTATAAATAGGATTTCTATTTTTACTTGATTTATCGGTTTAAACCGTAATAAATTATAAACGAAATCGTTCCGTTTCAATTGTTTTTCAAGACGCAAAAGTTAGTTTCTTTTATAATTGTTTTTTGTCTGTATTAGTTTTATACAATAGAAAGTGGTGACTGTAGTAGTATTCCGTCTTCAAAGGGTGGTCCTGCTTACCAAATCACGCATGATCGAGTTATATTTAGATCTACTGAACGCAATTCAACTTCTTGGTGAGGTAATCTAAAAATAGCCCATGCATATCATTAACCTTGCCACGTGCTGATCTACAGATAGCGCATCGTATTTGTGATCGTATAACATAGTTGATACATGCTTATTAATTGGTACCACGTAACGAAGAATTTTAGTGCATTTACTTGTCTATAAAGCAAACGAATGATTTCTCTGCGAAAAAGGGGAAATGAAATGTGCACACTTGTTTCCGTTCAGTATGATAGATAGATCTCCACGTTAGTATTTTTACGATTGATCATTTTCTTTATTAGTTTTATACAATAGAGAATAGATTTCAAATCGTTTTGGCAAAAAATATTCGTTTTTTTCAAAAAATAAACCAACTAAATAAACCCTTTATGATATACAAATACCGTAATTAAAAAAAAATTGTGATAATAAATTGAAACAAACAAAAAAACAATTTTAAAGGGTTGGGATGAAGGCACAACTGTGCAAGCCTTTCCTTTTAAAAGGAAACTTTATCTTTTATAAGGAATATTTGGCATATTTTCTACTACAATTTTTTCAAACTGATACCTTTTTCATATAACTTTTGTTTTTCCCCCCTCAAAAACCGAAAAGTTCCTGTTTTTTATCAACATTTTCAATTTGACAAGTTTGACAGCTGGGGCGCTGACAACGGAAGTGTATATAAGCGATACGTCAGAAGTTAAAAATTTGTTACATCGACTAGAAAATCAGTTTGATTCATTTGGAAATACTACAAGGTACTACAAAAAGAAACATTTCATCATTTTGGACTCCTACAGACTCAAAATTAACGAGAAAATAGTGAAAACATCGTTTGACAACAACAGCGTTGCTAAGAACCGTAAACAGCTTTCATAAATAAAGATCAAGGTCAAGGTTCAAGTAAGAATTGTTCTCATTCTCAAGAAAAAGGTATTTATCTGAAAATTAATGATATTTTTTAGATTTTCTGTTTCATAAAAATGTAATTCACCAAAATGAGAAAGAGTGCAAGACTTTCGACCAAAGCGAGGCAAAAATATGGAAAAAAAACCTGAAATTGAAACTGAAAATAATTGTACTAATTCTTAAAATGAACCATTACTAAAAAATAAAAATCAAATTGCTTGTCCTAACAGTTTAACTAACGTCAGAGTTGAAACTATATATAGATTCAGAAAAGAAAGAAAAATATTTTACTAGTGTATGTGACAGTAACTTGATTAAGAGAATAAAATCAGAAAAAAAAACATCAGCGCAGAAAAGTCATGTAGGAAAAGAAAATTATTCTTCAAAGTTACTTGTGCAGGGTGTTACTTGGAAGACCCACAAGTTGTGTAATATACAGAAGCTACCTGGCTGAAGTGTGATTATTGTCATAAGTGGTGGCATTTACAGTGTGCTTGTTTAGACCCTGAAAGTGCTAAAGTCTTCAGATTCATAAAGTATCCTTGTGTATTGTGTGTTATAGATAATTCCCCTTGGATAAGAGATACAATTCAGCTTAGAAATAAAGATCTCTTATGAACCAACTTTGATACAAGCAAGAAAAAAAACCAAAATTGAGTGTCACCTGATACCATCGTTATTCCACAAATAGATTCCAAGCTCAAAAACTGTCAGTTACTGATCTGTCAACTACATGTACAAAAAAAAATAACATTGACGACTCTTCAAAGTGTACCAGTCAGAATTTATCAAGTAAGTTTTTTTCTGACAATATTGATAGTGTTATTGTTATAGATGATTGCCAAAAATTTTGCTCTTCAAAAGACATTGAAAAAAGAATAAAAGAAAAAGGAATTGAATGTGTAGAATTTGCGTATAGTCTTCCAAGAGGTGGTATTGTTTACATTGTGAAAATCCAGACAGAAGAAAAAATCTTCAAGATACTTGGCCTGAATCTGTTTTTGGGAAAAGTGAAATAGTTCATCAGCCTGTAAAGAAAAAGGAAAAGAAGGTTGGCTATTTGAGGAACATTGACCCAAGATTCTCACCCAAGATTCTCTGAAAATAAAGTGAGACATATACTATTGGATAGTTCTCTTGAAATTGAATCAGTAAAAAGGTGCTTTCACAGACATGGTGGTAAACCAATGCCATTGGCTAAAATTACCTTCTCTAGCGCAAAATCACTACATCAAGCCATAAATAAAAACTTTGATCTGAGATTTAACAATAGGAAAACTATTGTTGAAAGAGAAAAAGACACTAGAATAATAAGGTGCTTCAAGTGTATGAAATTTGGCCATATAGCTAAATTTTGTAATTCTAATACTAAGTGTGAAAACTGTGGCGAGGACAATCATACAATTAATCAGTGCAAAAACCAATCTTGTTGTGCCTACTGTAAAGGAACCCATAGAGCTTCATCATCAGACTGTCCCGTATACCAAGACAGAAGGCGCAAGCTTACCCTACAAACAATTATTTAATTTTGTTATTTAGTGAAATTTTAGTAAATATGAAGATTATAACACTTAATTGTCAATCCTATAATACAGCAAAAACAGACATTTATAGATTTATACAAAATTATGATTTAGAGATTCTTTGCCTAACAGAAACTTGGGAGACCACGAAAGAGGAAATTAAATATTTAAACTGGAAATCATTTTCAAAACTTAGATCTAATGACAGTCATGGAGGTGTTGCAGTTTTAGCTTAACCATCAGAAAATATATATATGCAGAGAAAAGAAAATCTTGAAATAAAAAACTTAGAAGCAATATGCACCACTTTGAAACTGAGGAAAAAGGAGAAAATTCTATTAATTACAGCTTACATTGCACCACGTAATCTGGAGCAAATACCTCTACTTATATCTTTATTAAAAATATGTAACAGTATGTTTAAAAACATCATTCTAACAGGAGATTTTAATGCAAAGAGTAAACTGTGGGGAAATTTGTTGAATAATAATGCAGGGGAACAACTGGAGGATTGTCTATGGTCAGAAAACTTTATTAGTGTAAATGATATGGAGCCTATAAGAAGAAACAGTAACAGTGTTATAATACTGTTATTGATCTGTTTATTGTAAAAAAAATCTGGAAATAAAGT